CCCTAACCCTAACCCTAACCCTAACCCTAACCCTAACCCTAACCCTAACCCTAACCCTAACCCTAACCCTAACCCTAACCCTAACCCTAACCCTATCCTCTCGAGAGACTGGCCGGAGGGATTGGTTCAAAGACGGTCAGGTCACGGGTCTTAAGTGGCACGTCGGTCAGCTCGGCAGTCTCCGCAAGCGTACTACAGCATGCAGGGCTGCGAATAGGACACACTCGAGAGTGACCGCACTAACAACTGCAGCCTTAGAACCGCCGCAAACGGGGTGCAAGTCGCACGAATATGTGTCTCGTTCTGAGATTTAGTATTGCATTCAGAATCAGCATGCGATGCAGCAACTCACGCCGCCGGCATCAAAGCGCGACGTGAATGAACTTGAGGATCTGCGCACCCGCGGTCAGCCCGCCGAGCCCATCTTGTTCAGCGCGATGCCCCGGAGACGGCAGGCTTGCTCGGCAAAAGCAGAGCCCACTTGAGTCGGCTTCGAGGCTCGCTGCTCTGCGTGAGCTCTGATTGCTGGAGATAGATTGATGCGGGATTGGCTGAGGTCAAGCCCGCTGCCCTTCACAATTGATATGATCGGTGCTGCAGGGTCAAGTGTGGCGTTCGGGACGGCGGGTTGGAGCGCGTGAGCGGATGTGGCGTTCGGGACGGCGGGTTGGAGCGCGCCGATGCTCCCCGTCTGCTGGAGTCTTTGTAGCCGTGCACATCACGTACTTAAGCACACGCACTCCCACAAAGCCTCGACCTTCCTCTCGTTCTTGACGCGTACCTACTCGCCGACAGCATCGCGAGTTCTGCTTGCCTCGCGCTGCCTCGCGCGTACCTGCTGCGCGGCAAAGAGTCTCTAGCCGAGGTCTTACTGACTGCAAGGTGTCTATGCCTTGCGCAGGCAAGCCATCTCCGAGGGACGTCGAGCGCGCCACACGGGATGAGGTGTTCGATGCAGAAGATGCTGAACTCGAATCTTGCATCCAAGCCAGCGCTGTCTCCATCGTATAGGTTGCCAAAGCCGACGTCTTTGTCAGGAACCAATTTCCGTGTGCAACCCAGCATGGCTCCTATGTTGCGGTGTTTGTGTCCACATACCGTTACCTTACCCGTACACGTGCTTGGTGCACAAATGAGGCCTATAAGATGAGCTGGCATGGTCGTCTGAATCCCGTTACCCCTTACTCTTCACCTTGCTATCGCTTCCGCTCCCGCCCCTCACCCTCGTCGCCTCCAAATGGTTAGACTCACTCCGCTCGCCTCTCTCGCGTTGGTGTTAGGCCTACTGGCCGTCATCGCGCCTTCCTCGCAATCACAATCCGGTCTGGTGGCGCGCAAGAACGGATCAAAGGTGGTGACGATCAGCCAGTCTGCCTGCTCTACCATCAAGGGATCTGGAAACGCTGTCAAGCCTCTGCCCACAAAGTCTAGCGCTACCACGGTGCACGACATCATCAAGGTGATCTATAGGACCACGCTTACCACATCCGTCACCCCCGCCCCATCCACCGTCATCTCCACCGCAACCTCCACCGTCACCACTACCACAACAGATCCAGCCATAACCGACACGTGAGTGATGCTTGCGCACCGAGCCTTTACGCAGAGGAGAGCTGTCTGCGCACCCAGTCTGACGCAAATGTTTCCCAACCCGCGACAGACTGACCGTCTCGGAAACGCCAACGACGAGGGTCACCGAGACGGCGACTGTCACGTCGACGGCAACTGCAGATGGAGGCACAGTCACGACGACCACGACGTCTACCAACACCATTCCCGCTCTCGCCGGATTCACGCCGCTGGCAAGTCAAATAAGCGCAGCTGGCCAAACACCTGCCTACCGTCGATCTCTCGCCACTTCTGCGCCTGGCGTGGGAAGCCTCTTGGCTCGCAAGCAGCAAAAACAAGATGCGGGTTTCTGCGACAAGAAGGGCAAAGCGTTGCAGCCGAAATCTGTCAAGTGCAGAAAACGCGTCGAGATTGTGACCTACACACAATCGACCGTGACCGCCAAAAAGCAAAAGACCGTCACCGTTCCTGCTCAGACGGCAACCAGCACAACATCCGTTCAGACGACGACCACAGAGACATCTGCTCTGCCCCAAGTGTCCGTCACGACCACGACGACGTTGCCCGTTGTGACGCAGACGGTGACCACAACGACCACCGCAACCACGACCACAACGACGACGGCTACTGCAACTGCGTCAGCCACTGCCACGGACTACGAGGCATGTCGAGCGAACAATTTTGTAGACAAAATCAACGGCCGATACGTTTCGGGCGGAGATGGGTCGTACTTCCAGACAATCACTTCCAAAGCGAGCAAAGAAGATTGTTGCGCGTCGTGCGCAACTGATGCCAATTGCGAATTCTTTGCATTCTGGCAAAATGGCAGTGGCGATTGCTACACCTTCACTCCTTTCGCGGGCGATACCTGTCCAGCCCAGTACACCCTTAGAACCGAGCAATCCAGGAGTCGAGAGAACTCGTATGCAGTCGGAAACGGTGCTTGTGGCACGTGGTCAGTTTGAACGCGACGACGCTGGACATGGCCTTGCGAGCGACGCAGGCCTTCGACGCCTCGTGCTCTGCGACGTGTCCATCGAACGACACAGCAATGCACGACCCATCCACCGGCGCATCGTCCCCTTCTCTGGCAATGCATATTCGCGCACACACAACACGAAACAACGCAAATGCGCGCAGCACGTCCAGCCTCACCGGCCTCGTGAGCAAAGTATATCTGGTCTCAACGTCGACCACAACGCTCCCTTTTTTCCCAAACGTCATCCAAGTGCCCGATATCCTGCCTTGCATCCTCTTGAATCCTTGCATCTTTTTGAGCCTCCATCTTCGTGTGTGCAATTTGTTGCTCTTCGTGTGTCGCTGCACCCGACTTGAACGGCTCGCGCAGACTTGCGTACCAAGCTTTGCTCGTCTCAAGTTCTCTGTTGCTTAAAAGACTTGCGGGCACGTCTCAAATTCACCACGCGCGGCATTGAGCTCACGACTACGGCATAGCCATCATTCGCTGCGCCCGACTCTCTCGCGTGCCTTGCGTGGCTCGGTTGAAAGACACGCGCACTGACTGCGATACTTGACGCTCAAGTGATGGCATCCTAATGTCGTGGCTCGACTAATGTACACGATTCTGCCGGGTTGTTCACTCGTTCAGATAATGCGAAACGACGTTGCGCATGGCTCGCCTACGAGAACTTGCTGTACCTGCGACACGTAACCAAGAAGCCTCATCAGCAGTCGCTCGAGGTAGCACGGCAGCATGCAGCGCACTCACAAGATGAGCAAGATGAGCAGCACCAAGACGGCCAGAATGGCGCCCATGGTCAATCTCTGCTGCTTGGCGCTGGAATGAGCATCGTGGGAATTCAGCGCGCGCAGACGCACGCGCACGATCCACGCATCGAGTAGTAGGCAACTCACCGACGAATCATTTGCTGCAGCGTGCGACTGGATCGATCGATGTTTGAATCTGCTTGACGGAGCTGCATTTGCGGGCGCGCCGTCGGTGTAACGATGATCAGAAGTGCGTCTCGATGCATCGCTCCGCCCGCACTCACCGTGTCCCTCGAGTGTTCGATCTGCTCCCTCTGTCCCCTCAGGTTGCGCAAAATGTCTGCACCCAGATCCTCTGTCTGCAGTGCGAGCCTGTGCGAGTCTTCCAGCCTCCTCGATCCATCCTCCAGCGTGGCCGTGCCTTGCAAAAGACGCTGTCGCTGAGCCTGCGTGTCCGCCAAGCCCGACTCCAGGTCTCCGGAATCGCCGTTGAACGCAGAGGGCGGCAAGTCTCGTCCCGAACTCTGCGCAGCCGCTTGACGCTGTGGCGGGGGGCACAGGTCAGCGCGATTCTGTCCAGCCATTCACGCACACAGCCACACCCACACCCACACCCGCGCCGCCTCGACTCACCAGACGCTTCCTCAAACCTTCCAGCTCTGCCTTTTTGCCGCGCATCTCTACCTGATACCTCGACTTGATGGCCTGCGGCATGCCTTGCACTTCCAGCTCCATCTGAGCCACAATCTCCTCGGCCTCGTCCGCTTCCATGTCTGCTCTGCGCAGCGCCCCTGCTCTAGCTTCGCCCTTGGCAGAGCTCACCGAATCGAGCGTGGACTGGATGGAGGAGAGCAGCTGCTCGTAGTCGGAAGTGTAGGAAGAGTAGAGTTCCGTCATGATTGTCGCGAGAGTGTGAGCGTGGCGGTCGGAAAGCCAAGTGCGAGATGAGAGGTGGCAGCTTGTATGCTTGCGATGGTCGCAACTGTGACTGTGACTCCTGTGGCTGGCTGAGTGGCCTGCTGTGTATGGATGGATTCACGATTGTGATTGTTGTGCGCGTGACGCTGATGTCCGCATCGGTGCATACAGTCACAGTCACGAGCGCCAAGGTCAAGCATGCAAGAGCAGCTCGATGAGCTCGACATCGCCTCAGCATCGATCGACCATCGCACGCATAAAGCCTCCTATAGCTGCTGTGGCCTGCGCGTGCGTGGTTGCGCGGCGGCGCGATTTGCTGCGCCGCTCGATATCATCACGTGACCTTCTCCTGTCGGGGAGAGAAAAAAAGCGCGGGCGTCATGCAGAACGAGCAAACAAGCTGCACACAATCAAATTTGAATCACGAATCTCGAATCAAAATTCGTGAACGCGAACGAGCGTTTGCCTCCTTCGCATCGGCCGCCGCCGCCGCCGCCGCCGCTCGACCTTTCCACACTCTCTCGATCGACGGCAAGGGCCTCTACGCCTGTCAAACCTCTCTCTGCACTTCCTGGCATCCATCCGTGTCCCCTAAGCTGTCCCCGCTCGCCTCGCCGATCAACGCAGCTCTCGCTACAGGGCGCATCGCGCCTGGCCCGTTGCCTTGCGCAACAGCAGCTCTCCCAGCGGTCCCGTTCCGCCAACACCACGTAAAGGCAGGTCCGGGCTTGCCACGACCCTGCATACAAGTGCCCAAGATACACCACCCTCACTGCAGCCAAGATGGACGTCACGAGACCCATCACGTCGAGCATAGGCTCCACGTCGTTCTGCTTCTTGACTACGCAAGAGATCAGAGCGCTGTCCGAAAAGGCCATCGTCAATCCCGTCCTGCTCGACACCACCGGTCTGCCCACAGCTGGAGGACTGTACGATCCCGCATTGGGACCAATGGAGCGGAGCGCCATGTGAGTCGGATTGCGTCGTGCGCTTCGTCGATTCGCCTCTGCTCAGGCTAACGCCGCGCAAACTACCCCATCCACAGCTGTCAGACGTGTCATCAGAGTTCCTTCAAGTGCCCAGGCCACTTTGGTCACATTGAGCTGCCAGCACCCGTCTTCCATCCCCTCTTCATGTCGCACATGTTCAATCTGCTGCGAGGCTGCTGTCTCTTTTGTCATCGCTTCAAGATCAACGCATTCACCCGCATCCTCTTCGTCGCCCGCTTGCAGGTGCTCGAGTACGGTCTGGTGGCCCTGTCAGACGAGCTGGCGGGAGAGACGCTGCAGCGACAGCCTTCTCTGGTCGGCAGCGGAGATGCGGGTGGATCTTCTGCCGACGTGGCCGACCTGCACATGGAAGACGGCGATGGGCAGATCGAGACGAGGGCAGGGGCAGGACAGCCACCAGAAACACTCGAAGAGTTTGAGCAGAGGATACACTTGCGGGTCTTTACCGCCATCGAGCAGGCCATCAAAGAGGGCAGGAGGAGGGGCAAGTGCAATGATGGTGCGACGTATGCTGCTCGCAAATTGGTCACCTCGTCTTTTATGAAGGAGATTCTCCTCAAAAAATCGTGCCCGAGATGCAAAGCGTGAGTCTGTAGCATACAGTGCGTCATTGTCGGCAGCCAGTTGCTCACCTTTTCCCCGCTGTGCAGTTTCAATCCTACGCTGCGAAAGGACTCTTTCATCAAGATCGTAGAGAGGGAGCTCTCGGAGCGGGAAAAGGCGATCCACTCTGCAAGCGGAATCGTTCGTCCCGACGCTGTGCGAAGGGCGGCCATCCGTTTGGCTCATCGGCAAGGCAAGGGCAGGCCCGGTGCAAATGGGAGGCGGAGCGGCAATGACGACGACGCAATGAATGTGGACTACCGAGAAGGCAATTCCGGCGCTGCAGACAGGCGAAAGGACTTGCAAGACGCGCGAAAGAAGAGCAAGCTGGCAAGCGACGCCACCCGAGTCATGCCACCGATCGAGTGCCGCGCAAACCTGCAACTGCTCTTCTTCAGTGAGCCGCAGCTGTGCTCGTTGCTTTTCGGCCGGCATGGCCCCTTCGAAGGCGGTGCTGCACCAGGCACCCAGATCGCAGGCGGCGGAAATCGCAACGCAGTCTTTGACAACGGCGCGTCTGCCGACGTCTTTTTCATGGACGTGGTCGCCGTAGCGCCGACTCGCTTCAGACCAGCCAGCAAAATGGGCGACGTCGTGCACGAGAATCCTCAAAACGCCCTGCTCAGTAAAATCCTCCAGACAAGCTTCGCGGTGCGCGACAATTCTGCAGCCCTATCGCAGCTGTACGAAAAGGGGCCAGAAGAGCTCGAGCGGGGCGGAGACGAGGTCATGCGCGCAAAGGACGTCCAAAGGGACTGGAGGACGAGGGCGAATGCAGCCAGCGATGCGCTCATGGGCAGCGTGCTCCAATTACAGGTCGACGTCAATAGCTTCATCGACTCGAGCAAGAACCCTGCTCCTCTCGCCCAAGGTCGCGTACACCCGCCTGGTGTCAAGCAGGCGCTCGAAAAGAAGGAAGGCTTGTTCAGAAAGCACATGATGGGTAAGCGTGTCAATTTTGCTGCCCGATCAGTCATTTCCCCAGACGTCAACATCGAGACCAACGAGATTGGCGTACCTCCCGTATTCGCCCAAAAGCTCACCTACCCTGAGCCGGTCACGGTGCACAACGTAGCGCTCATGCGGCAGCTCGTCATCAATGGGCCCGACACGTATCCAGGCGCGGTAGCAGTGCGCGCCGAGGACGGAACCGAGACGCTTCTAGGCAGGCTCTCGGTAGAACAGCGCACCGCCTTGGCGAGTCAGCTCTTGACACCGCAGGGAAGCATGTCTCGTTCTGCCAAGGGCACCTTTGGCGGCCTTGGCACCGCGACCCGCACTCCCACTTCCAACAAGCAAGTCTTGCGCCATCTGCGGGATGGAGACGTTTTGCTTCTCAATCGTCAGCCTACTCTGCACAAGCCGTCCATGATGGCGCACAAGGCTCGCGTGCTAAAGGGGGAGAGAACGATCCGCATGCACTATGCCAATTGCAACTCCTACAATGCCGACTTTGATGGTGACGAGATGAACATGCACTTTCCTCAAAGCCAAGCGGCTAGAGCCGAGTGCTACTTTGTCGCAAACACCGACAATCAGTACCTGGTCCCTACGAGCGGCAAACCTCTGCGAGGCCTCATCCAGGATCACGTCGTTGCAGGCGTGTGGATGACGTGCAAGGACACGCTGTATACTCGCGAAGAGTATCACCAGCTGCTGTATGGTGCACTCCGGCCCGAAGAAAATTACACTGGCGAGGGCCGCATCTCTACCCTCCCACCTGCCATCGTTCGCCCCTTGCCCAGGTGGACCGGCAAGCAGATCATCTCCACAGTCATGCTCAACCTCAAGCCGCCGGCTGCTGAAGGCTTGAGCCTGACTGGCAAAGCCAAAGTGGGCGGCAAATACTGGGGCAAGGATCACGCGGACGAACAGACCGTAATTTTCGAAGACGGCGAGCTCTTGACCGGTGTCCTGGACAAGTCCGCGTTTGGTGCGACGGCGTACGGTCTTGTGCACGCAGTGTATGAGATCTACGGACCCTCATATGCTGGCAAGCTCCTCAGCATTCTGTCCCGTCTCTTTACCAAATTCTTGCAGCACAATGCCTTTTCATGTCGGATCGACGACTTGACATTGTCCGAGCGCGGAGACAAGAAACGCCGCACGCTGCTGGACGATGGTAGGGATGACGGTCGATCAGCTGCTTTGCGAAGCATTGGTTTGGACGAGGAAGCCAAAGGCCGAGCCAAAGACGACGCGGATCTCGACTTTAATATGCGAGTCCGACTCGAAGAGGTGCTGCGCGACGACAACAAACTGGCAGCTTTAGACGCTGAAATGATGTCCGCATCCAATAAGCTAGCATCTGCAGTCATCGACGCTTGCATCCCGGATGGTCTAGACAAGATCTTTCCCCACAACAACATGCAAATGATGACAGTGTCGGGTGCAAAGGGCTCACCGGTGAACGTCTCGCAGATCTCGTGTCTGCTCGGCGCGCAGGCCCTCGAAGGCCGCCGAGTACCCGTCATGGTCAGCGGAAAGACGTTGCCTTCTTTCAAGCCTTTCGACACTTCCACACGCGCTGGTGGTTTCGTCGCTGGTCGATTCTTGACCGGCATTCGTCCTCAAGAGTACTACTTTCACTGCATGGCTGGTCGCGAGGGATTGATCGACACTGCGGTCAAGACGTCGCGCTCGGGATACCTGCAGAGATGTCTGATCAAGCATCTGGAAGGCATTCACGTGCACTACGACAATACTGTGCGAAACGCAGACGGCAGCGTGTTGCAATTCCACTACGGAGAAGACTCGCTGGATGTCACCAAGAGCAAGTACCTCAACGAATTCGACTTTACACTTCGCAACTTTGCATCCTTCCAGCAGCGCTACAACCCCGCCTTGTTGGCCGGATTGATGAACGAGGACGACGCTCGGTCACACATGAAGCAGGCTCTCAGGAAGCCGCACAAGTACCCGCCCGCTCTCAGTGTCTACGCTCCCAGCACACACATCGGTGCGACGTCTGAAAAGTTTGCGCAAGAGCTGCGAGCCTTCATTGAGAAGAACGCGTCCCACCTGCTGGAACCTCTGAAGACCAAGAAGAAGAAGAAGCATCGCCAGTCTGAGGCAGGAGGCGATGACGAAACTGACGCGACAGCACCGTTCATCGTCGAAAAACTGCGTTCTTTGCGGAAAAAGACGGACCCCAACTACTTTACGACAATGTGCCTCATGCTCTACCACAAGGGTCTCGTCGACCCGGGAGAAGCCGTTGGTCTACTAGCCGCGCAAGGCGTCGGTGAGCCGTCCACACAAATGACGCTCAATACCTTTCACTTTGCTGGTCACGGCGCAGCCAACGTCACGCTTGGTATTCCACGTCTGCGAGAGATCGTTATGACCGCGTCGCAGAACATCAAGACGCCAATCATGCGTCTGCCGGTGCTCGATCAGATTACCGAAGCTGATCAGAAAATCTGGTGCAAAGATGTGAGCAAGCTCGTAATCAGTCAAGTCGTCGATCAGGCGTCCGTCACCGAGCGCGTGACCGGCAAGACTGCAGCGACAGATTTCCAGAGACGTAAGACGTACACGGTCCGATTACACTTGTTCCCGCCCCAAGAGTGTCTGGAGGAGTACAACGTCACGACAGAAGAGATTCTCAGAGGACTTGAGCTGACGTTCCTGCCGTTGCTCGAGAATGGCATCATGAGCGAAATGAAGAGGTTGAGAAAGGAGGTTCTGGAGCAAGCAAAGCAGATTGGCGAAGGACACAAATTTACGGAAGGGCCGGCGCGTGGGGAGGGTGTCGATGAACCGGATGAACCTGGAAGCAGCACTACTGTCGGTACTCGAAGCGCCGGCAAGCACAGCAACAAGGCAGAGAGCGCCAAGTCGGCGCGGAGCGATGCTGAAGGTGACGGCAGCGAATCCGAGTCCGAGGCAGGATCCGAGGCAGGCGGAGATGGAGACGCAGACGATGCGAAGCGAGCCTCGCGATCGAAAGGTAATGCGACATACGACGATGGAGATTCCGACGATGAGGCCAATTCTCGCGCTCACAGTCCCGACGACGATGGATCGTCGGACTCTGACGGTTCTCAGTCCGCAGCAATGTACTCTGCGCTCGAGGATGAAGACCCAGAAGAAGCTTTCGAGGCCGCATACCGCAAGAGCAAGGAAAAGCAAGCCGAAGAGGCGCGCGAGGCTTTGCCATCCGAGGATAAGTCTATGCCAAAGGCGCCCGAGCTGAGCGAGGCAGATCCGCTCGTAGGCGACGGCGAGGGTGTCGAGGATCTTGTGCTTGCGCTGGAAAGTCGCTTGCAGGAGGGTAGCAGGTACCTCACCGAATTCAAGTTCGACTACATGGGCGCACGATGGGCCGAATTTGAGCTGTCACTGCCTACGCGCTCGCAGAAACTTCTCCTGATCAACATCGTTGAAAAGGCGTGCAAGACGAGCGTCATCCACGAGAGTGAGTAGGTGTGCGTGCAAGCTCGAGATTCTTGGTTGCTCACGGCGGCACGGCACCCTTGCAGTCTCCAACATTCAGCGCGCCTTGATACCCATCGCACAGCCAGGTCAAGAGCCGGCCATGACTGCAGAAGGCATTGTGGGTACTTGTAGCACTTTAGAGAATGCGTCACGCCGTCACTGACCCTGACGCGCTCTGCGCAGAATTTTCCGGGTATCTGGACGTCTGGTTTTGGTGTTGTGGCCCTGGACCGGATCTATACGAACGACATTGGCGCGCTTTTGCACACGTACGGTGTCGAGGCGGCCCGGGCCGCTATTGTCGGCGAGATGGCGGGCATCTTCAATGTGAGTCTTGCGCCGCTTTGCACAAGCTTTGCGAGTGATTCTGACAAGGCTCGTGCTTCCTCGGCGCGCAGACCTATGGCATTGATGTCTCGATGAGGCATCTGTACTTGATCGCCGATTATCAAACTGCCGCTGGTGGTTTCAGACCTTTCAGTCGGTGCGTGGGGTGGGGATCGGTCACTGCTCGTGAAGCGCCTGCTGACCTTTTAATTTGTCTTGTGGCTTTCAGTGGTGGTCTTGCGGACTCTTGCTCGCCTCTGCTAAAGGCCTCGTTCGAAATGACGATGGCCTTCCTCGGCGCCGCTGCGCTGCACGGAGAGACGGACGCGATGGATGGGCCCTCTGCCAACATTGTTGTCGGTCGACCAGTCCATACCGGCACCGGTGCCGCTCATGTCCACCATGCTATCCCTGGCTCTTGCACTATTTCCTCCGTCGCTTAGCTTGCATAGACACGTGCACAATGCATTGAGTACCGTACCTCCCAGTCTGAGTCGTCACGTTCTGCTCTTCCCACTTGAGAGGACGAATCTTGATTTGCGCCTGACACGCACGTATCCGGATCGTAAGCAGTCTTAAACGCGACGCGCTCCGCGCGACGCGTGTGTCGGCGGCAAGGGTTCCCCCGGGCGCTCGGACCGCGAGTGCGCGGACGCGGATGCTCGATCGCGCGCGCTGTTAGCCGTGCGGTGTTTGTGCGAGATGGACGTGGATGCACGCGGGCGCGCACACGACAATCATGAATCACGAATCACGAATCGCAGCCGCCGAAGTGTTGGCTCTTGACGTGCTTCTAAATTCACCCTCTCGATCCATTAATTGCTTGATTGGCATCGTCGCCGCGTTAACCGCCCTCCCTTCTCCGTACGTCCACATTTCTGGCGCGATACTCGACGCAACAATCGAGCTTCCATTGCCGGACCCAATTAACACGCTCGAGTCACAGCATGGCATGGATCGATCAGAGACCTTTGCCGCGGTATGGCTATTGGGGTCCCATCACCAGCTCGCTGCTCTGGTGCGAGGAAAAGGTGAGCGAAGGAGATTTGCAGGGAGCGCATCAGCTCTCATCATCATCATCATCATCATCGCGCTTATGGACGATCCGACCCGTCTTTGCGTGCGCAGTACGTGTGGTCAAGGTATATTGCTGAGCCGGTCAACACGTAAGTGAAAGTCGTGCTGCTGCTGGACCTCCAAACATTCATTCGTATTGCATCAGCTGCTAACGTGAGATCGCTCTGCGCGTCGCATCGCATCGCGTCGCGTCGCATCGCGTCAGCTTTTCCAACCTCTTCTTCATCGCGCTCTCCTTGTACGGAGCGCGCAATGGCTACCGGGCGCGACTACCGCGGCGCTTCATCTTGGTCAACCTGGGCATAACGGGCATCGGTGTGGGATCCTTCTTCTTTCACATGACGCTGCAAAAGTGGGCTCAGCTGCTGGACGAGCTGCCAATGATCTACACCTCCGCACTCTTCACCTACGCAGTGTGCGAAACGAGCCCAAAGGGACGCAAAGCTCGCTTTCAGTACGGCTTGTCGGCTACGCTCATTCTGGCCGTCATTGCCATCACCGTCGGATATGTGAGTTTTGAGCATCTGCAGCCAGCCATGCTTTTTTTGCTTCCTTCCTTGCAGGCTTGTCAAGGCAGGGGGCTCACCTTGGCGTTCCCTCCCCCCCCCCCCCTCCGCTGCGCACAGCTCTACTCTGGCAACCCCATCTTTCACCAAGCAGCGTACGCGGCGATACAGCTGACGAGCACCGTCAGGATCGTGACTCTGCTGCGCTCCAGCTCGTCTTCCATCAACAAGACGCTCGCAGGCAGAAAGCTCAAGCAGGACATCAACAAGATCTTCATCAGAGGCGCAGTGACATTTCTGACGGTGAGCGGCGGCGACGAGTGGCTGGCCCCCCTTTGAAGGGGAAAATGGGAGCTTCTCGCACACTGACACGCGGAACTCCGCTTTTTTGTTCGCGCTGCATCAGGCGTTTGGCATTTGGCAGGTTGACAACATCTTTTGCAGTTGGCTCAGGTCGACGAGGAGGTTGGTGGGCCAGCCCATCGCGCTGCTGTTGGAGGGTCACGCTTGGTGGCATATCGGCACGGGCTGGGGAGCGTACGCGATTGGCGTCGCAGGTGCTCTTTTGGTGAGTCGCTGTGAATGCAGCTTGCGCCGCCGAGGGCGCGGGAGGAGGGGGAGAGAGAGAGACGGGTGGATCTCATTCCGTGCGCCCTTCCACCGCACCTCCAGATCTCGTCGCTCAAGGAGACGCCCAGCAACTTTGCGCTGGGTGGCACGTGGTACTTGCCGCGCGTAGAGAGATTAAAGACGTCCAAACGACGTCCTCGCCGCTCCTCCACCACCGGACAGTCCACTGCTGGCGAGACGGAAGTCGAAGGAGAGGAGGATGTGGAGGATGTGGACGTGGCCAAGGGTCCGCGCAGGTCGCCACTAAAGATCACCTCTAAGAAAGACGCGTCAAAGTCCCGCGGCGCTACACCCAAAAAGGCGGCTAGCAGTGGCGCTTCCACCGGCCTGACCCGCACCCCATCCGCTTCTTCGCGCAAGAGGACTGTCAGTCAATCTCGTAAAAGGATCGAGACAGAGCGAGACAGCGAAGAGGAGGGGGAGGGGGAGGAGGAGGAGGATGACGAGCAAGTATCCAAAGCCAAACGCTCCGCTTCCCGTTCTCGTCGCGTTCGCTCCGTCTCAACAAAGTCGGAGCTGGCCGAGTCTTCATCGGTCGCCGCGACGCCCAAACGTGGTCGCGGCAGACCCAAAAAGGAGCCGACAACGCTGGTCCAGCTGGACGAGGATGGAGACGTCGTTAAACAGCCGACGGATATTCAAGCTTCGGGCAGACGCCGCAAGCAGACGCAGAGGGCCATGGCGAGTTAGCGTGCATGATCTCGTGCTCGCTCCCGTCAAGCCATCGAGACTATACCCATCGAGAGAGGGGGGAACCATCTCGTCCCTTTGCCGCCTTTGGGCTCTACAATTCTTGTTGCAACGACGTGCAATGGAGGAAGGGTTGGTACGGAGATGTAAGGGTCGCGAGCTGCTTTGGGGTAAGCATATCGCAATACCCTGCTTGTATTCTTTATTTCGCGCGCATGTACCGGGTATACAGTTTGAATCAGCTTGGGTCGATGTGCTCCATCTTTTGAAACATTGCTTTCACGTGAATGGGCGTTGGATAGATGAAAGCGTGCTGGGATGGTCTGTCTCAAATCAGCGCTTTCGTGCAGCATTGCTCCTCCGCCACGACCAGAGCAGGTGCCCGCCGCGGCTAGGCAGCACGCATCGTGTGTAGATGGCCCCGAATTCGCTTCTATATACTTGTGACTGCGCGCCGCACTTGCCGTGAGCGTGCAGTGGCGGAGAGCAGCGTGCGAGTGGCGGAGAGCAATGTGCGAGTGGCGCCTCGCCTCGCCTCACCTGCTCTCACCACTCTCACTCTCACGGCTATCGCGGGCTGTCGCGCAGTCAGTGTCGAGGATGGCGTGCGGCAAGCGTGACTTTTTGACAGCCTAGCACAATTCATTTGCCCATGCATCATCACATATCTTTCCCAAGCTAAAGTTGCTGGGTGATGGATGGGTGGGTGCATGGGTGCATGCTGGGGTGGCCATGAAATTTTGGTTGGGCCGCATCGCGTCGTGCTGCTTGCTGCTCAATCAAGCTGCTGCTGCTTGCTGCATGGCTTTCATATGAAGCATCACGAATCGTAAAAAGTGGAGATTTGGGGAGGACACTTGTGCATGGGTGCATGTGTGTGTGCTGCTGCTACTGCTATTTGTGCTCCACCACTGTACCACACTAGCGTCGAGCGGCAAGATGCGGTGCCGTGTACCGCTACTCGACCGTACCGGTACTACTCTGACTTGTTCCGTAGGTATCTGCGACTTTTGGACTGACTTGGCCCAAATGGGCGGGCATTCATGACGGCGCTAGCGAGTGTTGGTTCGCATCCTTCATCCGGCCGCTACTGTATGTCCCCGACGCTTGGTTCTCGGTGCCGAGCTCAACATGCAGTGAGGATTCGTGTAAGATTGGGAGTCGCGGTATATAGATACTCACGACTGTCAGTGGTACGATAGTGATAGTAGTAGACTAGCTGCGCGCAGGCTTGGAGTTCCTGTTACAGTTTACTGTACCGGTACTGCTAGCGCGCGTGACAGCAAACAATTAAGCAGCAAAAGCTATGTAGCCAAAAGAGATGGAAAGGGGATATAGCGAGCAGCCTTGCTTTGCGCATGCACCGCCATACACCCACCCTGCTCCAGCGTCCTTGCCGCGGGACTATGGGCTGTTTGTTTCGGTCGCAGATGCGAGCAATTAAGGCGCTGGCTGCATGCGCTGCCGTGCTGCAATCGCACGCGCATCAGCCTGCACGCATGCACGCTGCTCCTCGCTTCAATCGTCGACTGCTGCTGCGCATGGGCGTGTGCATGCGATCAAGCACTCGAGTCTTGAGTATCGCGTCTGAAGCGTCGTGCGCGAACATCCGCGGCTGTTGTGATCCATGCAGCAGATTGGGAAATTCCGCTCGCAGCTAGCGATGTGCAACAGTCACAAGTGTGAGTGCGAGTGCGAGTGCGAGTGTGCTGAGTGTGAAGTCACGAGTGTGTGTGAGTAGTACAGCACAGACGCTGGTATAGATGCATGCGGATGGTACGCCTGACTGCCCGCCTTTCCCCCCCCCCCACAGGCGCTGCTGCACAATCACCCGATCAAGACGCTGTGCGGCGAACCAGCAAGTCCAGACAAGACATCGCCACTGCCACTGCCACACGACTACAGTACCGGTACACGTCGCACCATGCACGTCTTTCACACGGTCCAACACCTTCCCTCGGACCCGCGCTGCTCGACTTTCCTTTCGCACGCTACTCACGACTACTACTACTCACTGCCTTTTTTACGCTTCCTTTCCCTTCGCCATTCGCCGTTCGCCCTGTCAGGTCATTCACGATTGTTCGACCTGTGCATCGGGTCTCGGCTACGCGATGCCTCAGACGTCTTCGTGATCGGCAGATGCGGTGCGTGCGTGCTGGGTGACTGCATGTCCCTGGAGAAGCCTGCCTGCCTTGCCTGCCTGCCTTGCCTGCCTGCCTGCCTGCCTTGCCTGCCTGCCTGCCATTGCGTGCATCATGAACAAACCCTTTAGGCGCATGTGCAAGCAAATCAGCTAAAAATCCAATCCCACTAGGACAATTTTTTTGTTTTTTTTTCTTTTTTGTCCGTGAGGTGAACACCAGAAAAGTGTCCGCTAGCGTGTCTGCCTAAAATGTTAGGTAGCCACAGGGAGCGGGGAAAGTTAGGAGATGGAACGTCAGCTATGATGACACTCGCTTAGAGCCATCCCAAGCACCATATGCACCACAACCCTCCTCTGCTGCACCGCTCCTCACCAAAGACGTCGCTCGCTGCTGGTTCGCTCGCCCCTTTCCCGTCCGCATCTCTCCTCTGCTGCTCCCTTGGCTTGCTACTTGCAGCTGGCAGATGCAGCAGTCTGTTGTATGCAGGACGTCGGTCCCGCTGTTGTGCATGTCATGCTCGCGACTTTTTGCCAAGCCATACATGAATCTATAGCAAGTAGTGGTAGTAGTAGCACTTGCACAAGCGAATCAGACCTGGGGGGGATGGGGAAGAGGAACTCTTTCATGCAGGTCTCAACGCTTCGGTCAATTCCCGACATGTCCTAAAATTCTCCTTCCGCGTCCGCCTCGTGCTTTCACTACGATAGACCCCAAGTGATGGGTGGGCTGTCTGCCTGCCGGTGCATGCTGCCGCTCGCTCATGCGCATGCCTTCACGCTTGCGCGCGTCGTCGTTCCATCATCGGTTCTCGGCTCTCATCTTCTTGTGTGTTTTTTTTTTTTTTTTTTTTTTTTTTTTTTTTTTGCTATGAGCTTCCGCAAAACTTTCCCGCGGTTCACTAGCTTGTATTTTGATGTCGCAGAATTGGTGCCCCGACTCGTGACTGCATGCATGCGTCCAGCAGGTCCGGGGTGTGGGTGTGTGTGTGTGTGAATTGCAAGTCGTGAAAGTGGGTCAAGAGTCAAGAAGTCACGAGTGTGAGCCTTGCTTGGTAGACTGCGTCCCAGGTGGGTCGGGGTGTGACACCCAAGCTGCAATCGGCCTTCGAAGCATCGCTGCTGGGGGCGGGGCGGTTGGGACTCACGCCGATGCACGCTTCCTCGACGACAATCGACTTGCTGATCCCGATGGCGCGACAAGATGGGTGCCATGTTTGCAGCGACGGTCTGAGTTTCCTTGTAGCTGCTGTTCATCAGAGCGCAGCTAGCTCTCGAGCTAACCCTCGACCCCACATTCGCACCGAGACTTGCTACCGATCCTTATCTCGCCGCGTCTAGTCCTGTCCTTGCCTGTACAAGCAGTCTCGGTCGCCGGCATTCACGAATCGCAAGCTCGTCTTGACGTTCTTGCAGGCGTCCCTTCGGCGCGATAGACGATCGAATCATCCGCATCCTGCGACGTTTACTTTGCCGGCTCTTTATAAAGAACGTCAAGACGCTCGCGTACGCCGCCCACCGCCGTTCGCACCTTCGCAAGGCGCTCGATCTGGCAGTTTTCTCCAAAAAAAAAATGTCCCTCCCACCTTCAAGCTCCGCCTCTGGCTCATCGACGCTGTACAACCAGTTCGCCCTCCTACCGCCACCCCCTCGACGTATCCTCTCTCGAACGCCCGAAGATGTTCGCTGCAGGCTGCCCGACTTTACACTATCCGACGATCCAGTGGCAGCGGTGAGGGAATGGGCTCGGCAAGAGTTCTTTGTCAACTTGGATCCCGGCTGGGTGCACGTCTATGTCGGCACAGGATGCATCGGCGCTCTCATCCTGATAGCGGGCTTCATCTTGTTGCTGCGCATTTACGCCAAAACCTTTTGGATCGCTCGATGTGAGTAGCGCATAAAGACGCTCGCTGCATGTGTGTGTGGGGGGGGGGAGGCCCTTGATCTGTGCTGCTCCAGCTGACTGTTGGGCAAGCGGCCGTCTCTCATGCTCGCAGTTCCCCGACGGACGTATGGCCGCGTCATTGTACCAAACTCGCTGCTGGGCTGGACCTTGGGCTGTGGTGCTTTTGGAACGTGAGTCTGACGACCGCTCACCCCACTCGCTCGTTCTCTCTTCGAAATTCACAGCTGACCGAATGCGTCATCTCCTCCAAACACGAATCTGCCTTTTCCCCTTCCCCTTAGCGTGCTGCTTGCCGTCTATTGGAAGCTCTATGCGTACTTTAGACTGGGACGATGGCCAGGAAGCTTTCCGCTGTGGATCGTAACTGCCTGGTATCCTCTCTACCTTGCTGCGCACGTAGCAGCGTGGGGTTTGTTCTACGCTGTTCCGAGTGATTTGACCGAGGGCAGGCTGCTCCAAGGCCGCAGCGGCATCCTTCGAAGACTTTCGCATCCAGCCATCATCAACGTGCTGGGCATCTGCCTGCCCATCATCGCTGCCATTACCGTTGCCATCCCGCTCGCCTTTGCGCAAAAGCGCTACAGCGAAGCTCTAAGGATGTACGGCGAATGGTTGCAAAGGTACGAAGGACAAGAGACGCTTTCGGAGGAGATGCTGATCGATGCTCAGCGCTTCTGGTACAAGCTCGTCGATGCTTTCCACATCATTGGCGGCATCTTTTTCGCATGGACATCTTGGGGAGTTCAGGATCTGAGCGCGTACGCGTGAGTAGGCTCGAAAGGGCGTCGTGTAGTTGACGATGTGGCCACGGGCTCAACTCTTGTTCTGCTCGCTAATTTCGCGCACGCCCGCCCGCCCGCTCCCCTCTCAGTTTCGTCAGCGGCCGCCTCTTGCTCACCCTTTGGAAGCAGATCCGAGCAGAGAATCCCAACGAGAATGCGTGGGGAGTGGTCACAACAATAGCTAGACGGCCGGGCAACGATGGCCCGGGACAGAGCGGGCCAGAAGAGACGGCAGAGCAGGAACGCGACGCAAATGAGCGATCAGGAGACGACACGCTGGAGGCCAACCTGATCAAGTCGCCATCGGACTTGAACAGCCAAAGGCGGCAGTCCGATGCGCAATCGCCCGCCACGGCAGATTTGGAGCGCGGCTCAGAGAGGAACGCTTCCTCGCTCGCCGCCGCCGCCACCACCAACTCGCCCATTTCTGCGCAAGCCACTCCGAAGATCGGCGCTGCGAACGCGCGCTCTCGCATCGTCCATCATCGCATCGAGAGATCAAAGGAAGCAGCAGGACGTCGAAGGAAGCGGCATCACCTCTATTCCGTCTTTAACCACGTCTTGCTTCAAGCCGCGTCCATCTTGACCGCTACCATGTGCTACTGCGCCCTCTCGCTTTGGACCGCCGTGGTCATGTCGGGAGCGCACGAGAATCCGTACAATCAGTATTCCAGCATCCTTACAGCAGAGCTCATCATTTCCGTCTACCTCGGCATCATCTTTGGCGGACTGACGCTGCTCGCCATTTTCAAGCACACGTACGAGCCCGTGCTGCACTTTGGCCAGATCAGCACCCGTTTCGGACACGGTAGCGGCAGCGGTAGCGGATCGGGCGAAGGAGCCAAAGCCAAGAGGCGCAGGTCGGGGGGGGCATCGGCTGCGCACGATGCGGCAGGCGGCGGCGGCAACAAGGGCATTGCTCTCTTCAAGCTGGGCGGCGGCGGCGGCGGCAGCGGCAGACGTGGATCGCAGCAGCTCCATCATCAGCCCTCTGGTCCTGCCGTCACCACCTTTTTCGAGTCCGAGACGCTTCAGCCTACAGCCACGATGGGCAACGTGCGCCTAGCGCCTACCGACGAGGAGGAGGCTCTGCGACGCAGCCTCAGCAGAAGCGGCACCAACATTTCCAATTCGCCCTTGCTCGAGGAGCTCAAAGAAGAGCAACCAACCAACGACAGCGAGCTGGAGGTTCACTTGCCGCTTCCGCAGAGCCGCAGCAGTTCGCGTCTCGCCTGACAGACATGCATACCCCAAAAGCTTTTATCGCCCACATGATACCTGCAGGCATACGCCACCCGCACACATCCATACCCCGCGAGTGCACCAGCACGTCGATTCTCGTACCGCATCGCATCATCCCATGTTCCCACACACTCTGAATGACATCCCTCTTGCTCGCGTCGACGCGCACATCTTTCCGTCTGCAAATACGTATACCTCTATCCGATTGTAAGCTACCAAGAGGCGTGAGCCCTAGACTTGATGGTACGAAAAGTTGGAGATGGGTGCGGAGAGAGACACGCCGCAGTGCAAATGGTATCGAGGGCAACTAATTTGGGGCAGGCTGCGCTCAGCTGCTGGGCGTTGCTGCATCGTTGCTGGCAGCTGCAGCAGCGGGCACTGCTTGGGCTGGCTTGCCGTTCTTCTCTTTCTTGCCCTTTTTCTCTGCAGAAGGGTTTGGAAGAGCAATCAGCCACCAGAGTCCGCAAATCGATCGCGCTCATCGGCACTCACTCTTGCTTCCTGCTTCCGCGACAAGACGTTCTAGTTCTCGTCTCTCATCGTCCTCCGCTTCTGGTTTGACTTGCTTGTAGATGGCACCGAGGAACGCGAGTGCCCGTGCGCGATTCAGCAGAGTCTGAGAGGGTGCAAGAAGGCCAGGTGAATTACAGCGAGCCTTGGTAAATGAAGAGCGCTGTTTGCATCGTGGCTCACCTTTTGGTCGACGCCCTTTTCGTTCAGTAGAGCATCACAGACCCTTCGCAGCACGGAAGTCACCTCCCAGCGAGACGCTCTCCAAGTCTGTGATGGATGTGGAAGCATTGTCAGATGATTGGAATGACCCTGCTCCACACGTCGTTCGGTGACTCACAGCGAGTAGCATCTACGGTCAGTGTCGCATCCCAGGCAAGACAGGGGTCAGCGCAAATTTTGGCTGTGCGCGAGCCGAGCCTTTGCACCCACCTTTCCGCTCATCTCTTGCTCCATCAGCTTGAGTTCTTCCTCATCCAAATCGCCCTTCTCTTGCCTCTTTGCCATATCCTCCATGCTCATCTGCACGCTCACTGCGCTGCCTAGGAGGCCCCACATTTCTTTGCCCACTGTGCCTTTATCTTTTAGCTTCGAGAAGAATCCAGGCAGACCCAAAAAGTTGCTCGGTCTCGATTTGATCCAGGTTGTGGACTTGGACAAGTAGATTGAACCAATCTGATGCACGATGCGCACGTGCTCAGCGCTCGCTAGCTACATGAACGACCCGGTCTCACTCACTGCGTGCAAGAGCTCCACGCCAAACGACTCGAGCTTGAGGTCTTCTGCTTCTTCCCTCATCTTGCGCTCAAAGATTTGTGTCTCCGAGTCATTGACATCGCCAGGGTGCTTGGCCTGCATTCAGAGGTGCGCAAAAGGCCGTCAATCGTGATCAAGCTTCACAGGTTGTGGCGCGGGGCGATGAGACGCACCTCTACAAATGGTCTGATTCGATCCTTGAGCTTGCGAGTCAAGTCCTCTACTCTTTGCTTCTCCTGCACCTCCTTCTCCCTCTCTAGCTCTTCCAGCTTGGCCCTCTGTTCTGGCGTCAACTTGGCCCTCTCTTTCGCAGACGGCGGTGGCTTGTTGCCAGATCCTGCGACCTGAGAGTCCGTGGAGCTGGCGGCGCCCTCTGCGCCCAGAGTCTGTGTCCCTGTGCCAGCGGGCGTGCCGGTGGAAGTAGCAGACGCACCTGTCGAAGCTGCTGCGCCGCTCTCAGCCCCTTGCTCCTTTGCAGCTGCCTCTGCAGCTGCGACAGCACCAGGAGTGTCCGCCTGTTGAGCTCTGAGAGCCTCCTCCGCTTCCTTTTTCTCCTCCTCAGTCATGATGATTTCGCTCGCTTTGCCAAAGTCCTTCAGCAGCGAGATCTCGCCGATAAGATCCACAAACCGCTCGCCACCAAACAGCTGCCCAAACATCTCTGTCGCTTCGTGCAGACCCACTTCTCCCGTCGGTTTTCTGAGTGTGGCGTGGAGGAGGCGCTCAGGTGAGCCAAATGCGCATCCGACTAGCAGCCGAAAGCGCATCCACTCACTTCTTTCCGTGCTTGTCATAATCAGCGCGCAGGTGGTTGTCCGATAGCACGCGGTAGGCTTCTCCAATGAGCTTAAATCTGGCATGTATGCGTGGATGGTAGGTGAGCGATTTGCTTCGAAAAGGTGCAGGACTGCGATAGACGAGAAAGCGAGACCATCGTCGTTCTACCGACGGCCCGTCCGGTCGCACTCACCGCTCTTCATCGCCGCCCTTGTCCGGGTGATGTTTGATGGCCATCTTCCTGTAAGCCTTTTTGAGCTCAAGATCTGTCGCTTGGCCAGACACGCCGAGCAGATCGTAATACTCCATGTCGGCTATCTTGTTCCCGTCTCTAGAGATGTCCCTCGCAGCGGCTGCGGCTGGAGCAGCTCCATCGCCAGCGACAGCTTGGGTAGTCGACATTGTGTATGCGTGCGCAAGTGTGTATGCTGTGCCGTGTGAAAGCGTTCAAACTGTCTACCTTTGAAGCAATCGACCTCGGAGGTGCTGGAAGGTGGTCGTCAAGGTGGAGGGGATGGACCGACGACTCTGGGTGATCGAGATGATGAGGATCGGATGATGATGATTTCGCTCCGAAGCGCAAACGCACTCGTTCATTCACAATTAAGATTCACCATTCGCCCCTCTCTGCACGTTCGCGCTTCCATCATCCATGCGCTCGCTCACTTCCGCGCGATCTGCACACGGGCAGCGGCGGCGGCGGCGGTGCGCGGCAGTCAAGAGTCACATCAGCAGAGTCACGGTGCGTTTTTGCTGTGCCACGAAACCTGCGACGGATTCACGATCAGTGGCTGCGCTCGGCCATGCACGAAGTCATCGAGTGAGGCGAGTCACGTGAGTCAGTCAGTCGCCTGCTGTTGTGGCGCACATGAACGCAGCAGAATCGCATGAGTTCATCGCATCCATCCTCAATCAACCACGCGATAACTACGAATGCTGACTTACTGCTTGCTGCTGCTGCTGCTGCTGCTGCTGCTGCTGCTGCTGCTGTGTGTGTCGCACAGAGGTGTTTCTCCTCTGCTGCGTGCATGCTGCATGCACCTTTCACAGCCTCACGCTCACGCTCACGCGCGCTGTATGACGAACAATCAATCAACCCGCAATCGTCAATCGAGTGTCGCACCTCCAGCTTTCTCGTGCAGCCGGCACTTGCGCGTGCAAGCAGGAGGAGGCAGAGGTGGATGGGATGGCTTAACCTGCCATGTCGAGCACGCGAATGGCAATTAATCAAGAGTTGGCCTGAGCGTCATTCATTCACGATTCCCGCATCCATCCATCCATCCATATTGCGGCCACGCGTACACCACCAATCAAGCTGCCTTACCGCGTGTACCGTGCAGCCGAGACGCAAACAACATCAGCGCAGCAGCAGCAGCAGCAGCTCCTTTGCAGCGTCTCACCTCGATCGGCACCGATACCGTCCGCGCCAAGCCGAAGCGCCGCGCGCATCTATTACGCAGCTGCAATCCATGCAAAGCTCGATGGCCAAGTACGCGCGCGCGCGTGTGGCGGGCGCTGAGTTGCGCGGAACTGCATTGTGATTCATTCAGAGACAATTAAGCCGCGCAATCGAATTCACGCGATTGTGATTACAGCTTCTCGCGAGGCTGTACTGTACGTGATGATGTCAAAGTCGTGAGTGCTCTTTTCGCAAGCTGCAAACCGCCTTTCTTTATCGAGTCCGCCTAGATCTGCTGGAAGCAACACGGACAACAGTCCGCGCTCAGCAGTCCGTCCTCCGCTTTCGAAACTTCTGTTTCGCATTGCCAATAGTGAGGTGGATACAGTACAAGGGGGGGTGATTGATGACAGGGCGGTCGGCGGCACGAACATGGAGCACCGGATGCGTGTCGGCAGGAATGCCAGCAGCGCGAAAACAGAAAAGGATGACCCGCGACATGCTTGCTGCCAATACTACTACTACTACTACTCGTCCGCTTGACCCGAAATATAGTCTTCGCTCTCGGCCGCTCTGTACTCCTCCATGAGCTCCTTGACCGTTTCCTGCGATTGATCGAACTCGGTCAAATCGTTGGCGAACATCGGTTCCCTCTTGTACATTTCCAAAAACGCGTTCCTCTTCCTCAATTTGTCGTACTGGTCCAGCGTCCGCTTAAAGATGCCGCTTATACCCGTATGATTGGCAAGCATGAGTCCCGAGACCCTGTGAGTCGCTTGAGCATAGGGACTCCTCTTCGTTAGAGCCACCTGGATGCTCGCTGGTCCCCATGGGATGAAGCTCGCCAAGTGTCTCTCTCGAATCCTCAGCAACGACTTGTGCACATCTCTAGGATCGATGGCATCGCCTTGTATGATGTTGAGAATACTGACGTAGCACGCCGATCTGCTGCACCCTTGCGTCGAGACCATCCGGTTCTTTGGCTGCAGCAATCGCCGCATCACGTCCAAGACCGACGTCTTTGTAGTCGCTTTGCCTCGCTCGATCGTGTCGGACGTGAAGGGTGTGTACGATGTCATCAGGAAGTGCGCGCGTGGTGTAGGGATCAAGGACGCGATCATTCCGACCTGCGCGGTGCGAGACGGTGCTCGTCAGTCATGGACGAAAGGGATGCCCGTTGCAAATAAGCCTCACCAGATCGTTGTTCATGTAGCCAGGATATCTCAAGGTCAATGTAGACGCGCCCATGACTGTGCTGACGAGCTGATTCGTTTGGCTAGGGTGCACCACTCATCACGTGTCAGCTACGACGGGCCGTTTGCTTCCCGTCGACGTCCCTTTTCGTACTCACGAGTAGCTCGGATTTTGAAGGTGCAGCCTGTCCGCAGCGATGCGCGCCAACTGAGCATTGTCGAGCACGACGACGCTGTCTGCGTGATCGATCAGCCTCTTCATGCTCAATACCGAGTTGTAAGGCTGCACCACCACATCCGAGGTCTCCTCCGAATTGGGAAAGACGCTGTACGTCTGGATCAGCTTTTTTGGGTACTGGTCAGATAATCTTTCCAGCAAGAAAGAGCCAAGGCCAGAGCCGGTACCTCCAGCAATCGAGTGCAGCAGCATGAAGCCCTGCCAGTCAAATCGCGCGCGCGCGCAGGCGTGGTGTCAGTCTGGCAGCAGCAGGCTCTTTTTGCCCGACCGAAGTCTGGGCACGCTTGGTGACCCCACGTAGCAGACTCACCTCCAAGCTCTCGCTGCCGTCCGCCTCCCTATCGACCATATCTATGAGCTCGTCGGCGATCTTGTCGCCAGCCGCGTAGCCCTGCGCCCAATTATTTCCCGCACCACCCCCATCCTTGCTCAAATGTATGTTTTCCGGATTATAAAGGTTCTTGTACGTGCCATTCATTATCCCGCCAATCACTCTCGGTTCGAGATCGACCAATATGGCTCTGGGAACGTAGTGCTCGTCGTCTGCTTGGTAGAAGAACACATCCTTGCGATCGCCCGAGGACTCGGTCGCAAAGTCCGATGGTGTGCCGTCTGGCGCTATGCCATGATCTCGACAAAGGTGCTCCCAGAACTGCGAGCCGATCTGGTTGCTGCGAGCACCGAGAGTTGCGGCCAGGTGGTGTGCGGGCATCAGTACAGTGCACAAGAAGAGGCCAAACATCTGCGAGGTCCCGCCAGCAATACTTTTGCGCTGCCTCTGCCGCCCCCTTGCTCCCATGCCGAGCTCACGTCTGCACTCGACTCACCCGCACTGCCCGGCTTGCAGCGTAATCAACTCCCTAGGCATGGTGCCTTGCCGTTGCACCTGAGCTGGTCAGAAGCTTCTGTCTTGTCAAACGCGATGCCAGCGTATGTCAAAGGGTGCCCCAGCTGTGTTCCCACCTCCCTGCTGTGCAGACAATTCGAGCGTTGTACCTCAGATCTGGTTCGGCGCGACGAGACGCAAGCGAGGACTCGGGCTTGCACGCTATCGAGTCGAGGAGCCAGGACAGGACAGGACAGCTTGCTTCCGCAGAGCGATGGACAGGTATTAGAGATGCGTGTTTGCAGGGAAGATGACTGTCAACGTGTTGCAAACGCAGCAGTCGTGATCAGTCGTTATACAGCATATATATGCCTGGTCATGTGCGCATCTCGTCTGCGCGGGCGCATTCCACGCGCGCGCGTGTCGCGTCTATACGCGTTGCTCGGCAAAGGCGCCGCCGTGGGACGCGAAATCGCCACGCCGGCGCGCGTCATCACGTGTCAGCCGGCCGTGAAACGATCTTGAATCTTGAATTTTGAATTTTGAATGTTCAAAGATTCAAGATTCAAGATTCATCAACATTCTTGATTTTTGATCAAGAAAAGTTGAAGTCTGAGTACTATAGTGAGTCAGAGCGCGCGAATAGTCCATCTCTTTGATTCAACCCGCCGGCGAGTCAAAGTGTGCAGCCCAATCTCGCGCCTGATCACGGTCAAGGAGCTGCCTGACACAGCTGCAGGCTAGGATTTCCATTTCCATAGTAAAGATTGGACTGCGCTCCGAAGATTTCTCATCACAATGCATCATTCGCTCCGCCGCCAAGTCTTTCAGCCTGCGTGGGGCCTGGTGACTGTAAGTCTAGTGTCGGCGTCTCACAGCTGGACCTTTGTCTGCTCGGCGACGCTATATGCATTACTTGATTCTCTTCCTTGATTAAGGGCTCATCTCAGCAAAGCTTAGTCAGCATGGACGCGGAGCAGCACTTGAAGCCAATGCGCAGTGAAAGGTCAGAGGCACATACGCGCCTTGCGCACAGCAAATCATTCCCCCTCTCGGGATCGTGAGAGAATAGGTTATACAATGCTATTATGTGGTAGACCGTTGTAGCAACCTACTTCGCCTATTCAGAGATGAAGAGGTCAGGTCGGATCGAGCAAATTGATGCGCCGAGGGGTAAGAGTGTCGATCTCCCTGCGGCCGCATCATGACTGCAAAGACGATTTCTCCACGCCTTGTCTCGTCTCTTCCACAGCAGAATCTTGAGGCGTATCTTGGCCAATTTGCTCCTTGCTCGCGCTGGGTGTGGGTCCACCGATCATCCTGCCCAACAACCACTGCACCACCTCTTCCTTTCCAGCCAACTGAGCTTCGCTCATCGGTCCTCTTCCCGCTTTATTTCTGGTATCCCATGTGCTCCTTGCTTCTGCAGCCCGCCTATTCCTCTCTTCTTCGCCTGCTTCGGAGCCATCTCCATCTGCTCTTGGCGGCGGGATGCTGGGTGTGGGCGAAAGATTCTCTACGCGATCGACGAGCGCTTGTACGCAGTGGAGATGACCGTTGAGAGCTGCCCAGTGGACTGGAGTATTGCCGGATGTATTGGCCAGCAAGATAAGGTCCAAAGGCGCGCTCGCAACAATTTCCGACACCACGGCTGCACGTTGAGCGTGCACAGTGGAGGCAGTCGCGGTCAGCAGCGGCCTCGCGCAGTGGTGAGAGGGCAAGCACGGCCACGCGACAATGATGACCACATCCCTGGATAGCGCATATATGCAGGCATATGATCAGATCTCCCAGCAAATATACTCACCCATGTGGCCATTCGCAGCGGCGTAATGTAGCGCAGAGTTGCCTTCCTCTGTCACTGCTCTTTGCAGCACATCCAGCGCTTCTTTACCCGAGAGCCGGGTGTTTTGACCAGGTGAAGCCTCGCTTGTCTGGTGTGTGAGCGTGCTCTGTCCAATCGCAGCTCTGAGCTCTTCGATGTCTCCGATCCTAGCGCAGTATAGGATCTCATCCACCTCATCCTCTGTCAATGCTTGTCCCAGCGTCATGGTCGCTAGGCGCCGTCCGGGATAGTGCGGGCTGGTGTCGTGGCGTGTCGTGTCGTGCGGTATTGGCTGAGCGCTCGAGCGATGATGCTTTGATTCGTAGTGACGCTTTCGCAATCTAAGATTGTTATCCAAGCGTGCTTGAATGAAATGTGAGTAGACCTTGGGTTGAGGTGTGAGTATATGGCAAGTCGTGAGTCCTGCAAGTCCCAAACGGTAGTGGAGAATAGCCCTGTCGCTAGACATTTTGAGAATTTGACTTCATCAAGAATTCTTGACCAGACAAAAAAAACAAGCACGTCACGTGGGCGTTTGCCGTGGATGGATCTCCGCGGAGAGGGGAAGTCGCCTGCATGCATGCGGCTATATATATATCGCTCGCTGCTGGTGAAAGCTCGCCGCAACAGCAGCGGCCAGGTCCGCACGCGCGCGCGCGTGCACCTCACGCTCATCAATCGTCAGCAGCATCCGCGCTACACGAGTCGGCGGCGGCGGCGGCCAACCCGGCGCGCGGCTGATATGCGCTGCGTGCCGCTTGTACGGCTTTGCCGCGAGGCGAATGGGCGGGCGGGCGACTTCTTTGACCTCTCTCTCTGGCTTTGCATTCAAGATTGTCTGTATAGCGCAAGAGCAACGCTCCCCACACTCACCACCCACGACACCAGCAGCTTTTGCTTCTCTGCGAGATTCGACGCCCAAATCCTCCCGTCCTCTCGCTACATCACCTAGCTCACCTGCCTCTGCAGAATCGCACGCAGCACCAAGCGGACTTTCGCACCCTACGACCTGAGCGCCATTCCAGACATACCACCACAAGCTGGATCCGCTCGCAAGGACGTTGCGATAGCGTGCCTTGCCTGCGCTTGCCATGGCCCCGAGGCGTAAGCAGGCGAAAAGCACGCAAGCCAAGCAGCAGCCATCGTCGTCTGCTTCCTCATCGCGGCCTCCAACTCACGTCGACTCCTCTAGCAGTGCGCATACATCCCATCAATCAGCCCCACCAGCCTCCGACTCCCTATCCTCCTCACCACCGCCGGCTGCAGAATCTCCTTTGACCTCGGGAACACCATCTACTGCCCCTTTGGCTTACTCGCGTGATCCATCGCCTGCGGAACTCCAGTCGCTCGACTTGGAAGTGCAAGCTGCTCTTCAAGCGCACGCAAACGCAAGCTCGAGCATGATGAAGCAAGACGCTCACGTCAACGAGCAAGGCGAGCAAGGCTCGGATGCGGAAGCTGCAGCTGGTCTAGGAGCATTGGCTGGTCTGGCCGCCGCAGCAGCAGCCGGCGATTCGATCCCGCCATCCACGGGCGATAGTCCGGCAAAAGCATCTGCCGGTAGCAGCAGCGTGGACACTTCTTCTCCCGCCAAAGCGCACCCCAACGCGTACGCCTTTAGTGACGATAGCGACTTGACGGATGAGCCGGACGAGGAGAATGACCAGGAAGTATCAAATGATGGCTCTGCTTCCGGATCTAGTGACGGAGATGATGTGGAACAAGAAGGAGATGGAGATGGTCAGGACGAGGATGAAGAGGAAGGCGAGGATGATGGGGATGACGATGCGCAAGCATCTTCCCGGCTCAGGAGCTCCAAGGGAGACGCTTCTCTCCACACTCAAACCAGACCGTCTTCTAGAGAAGGCAGCGATCTGTCCGATGAGAATGATAGCGGAGAGGAAGACTCTGAAGCCGAGGGCGATGGGATGGAGGTGGATGCAGAGGACGCAGAAAGGAGCGCGGACGATGCTGATGAAGAAGCAGCGGCAAGCCTCGCTGCACTGACTTCTGGTGCGACAAGGTCAGCGACCGAAGCGCACGAAGCGGATGCTCTGGATGGCCTGGCAGCCATTGCTGCTGCTGCCGATCCTGACAGCGAAAACGCGGCCGTGGGTACCTCAGGAAGAGGCGTCACCGGTGAAAACGCTGCTGCAGCAGCGCTCGCGGCAGCCGCTGCAGCGCGAGGATCTATGCGCCTAGGAAGAGGAGCGCTGCCGAGGCAGCATGGTCCGCGGAAGAGAGCCAGTCGCGCGAACGAGGTCAGATTGGACGACTCTGACGAGCAAGACGAAGAGTCTAGCGGAGAAGGCGCAGAGGCGGAAGAGGGCGTGGGCGAAGGCGACGCTGAGGTGGACGCGGACCTCGACAATGACACTCAAGACTCATCCGCCGCCGCCAAGCCTGGAGCTGCCGCATCCTCCGCCACAAAAGTGCCGGCAGGACCCACCAAACCTGGTCTTCTCTCTGGCGCGCCCCTCATCACGGTTGAAGGTGCAGGCGAAGGCGAAGCAGACGACGATGAAAAGGGCATTCAGAGCGCCATGACGAGTCGAGAAGGTACCCCAATGCCTCTGCCCATGCATCTCAAGAATCGGCTCGCTAGGGACGGCACGGACGCTGATGGCACTCCTGCCCCTGCTAGCGAAGCTGACGATGGGGCGGCTGATGATGGTGAGTTCACCTTGCATCTTTGATGCGACATTGATGAGGCAAGCGTGGCTCAGTAGTCTGTATGCCCGCAGACACAGGCACAGACGAAGCTGCTCTCAAGAGGCAAGAGGCCATGGAGGCTTTGACCAAGATAGAAATCAGCTTCGCGGCTCTGCGCGATCGCCTGTACGTCGAGCGCATGGAGGAGGTGAACAAGGAAAGCGAAATGATCCTCGATGGTGAGTGACCCGCATGCAATGCCCATCGAGGCCATCGAGGCCAAGGCACGAGCGCTGACTCTGACGCTGTTGTCTGCTAGGTACTCATCCCGAGCTTGTGCATCTCACCAGGCTAATTGATGCCAGGAAGGACAGACGTCTGAACCTCGTCGAGCTCTGGTTCGAGCAACAACAAGCGCAGTACGAGCGAGTCGCCAAGACGGAAGAGGCAATGACATGGAGCAATTGGCGCGTGAGTGTCGAGCGAAGGATGTTGAAGCGAGTGACACGCAGCTGAGGGTGTTCTGTCTCCCTCTTGGCTCAGAATGAGACTGCGGATCTGCGAAGGGAACAGATGGATGATCTGAGTCGCAAGCGACGCAAATTGGAACGCGAGAAGAGGAATCTCGACGTGCCGCGCCCACCTCGCCGTTATCAGCTTTTTCAGACGGAGCTAATCCGCAATCCAGAGTGGCAGATCCAGGCTGCGCTTCAACATCCGGAAGTCGAGTCGAGCAAACGAAATGGTGCAGTCAATGCATCGAGAGGTGAGAAACGACGCGCCAGCATGCTTCAAGATGAATGGGCAGACTCGAGGGCTTTTGTCGCCTTTCCTGATCTTCGCGGATTGGGCGACCAAGATGCCTGGCAGGATATGGAGCATATGGGAGTGAGTTTCGAGGTCGCCATGGTCAGGCGCGAATCGTCTCCGCGTGAGGCGAGCTGACCTGATCACTTTCGTTTGCGGCAGATACGTCCAGAACTCAGGATGAATGTGGGCAGCGTTGCTGGCTATCGGCCTGAAGAAGAGGCCCTGTACGAGGCAAATGGCGGACCAATCGCCGGCTCCTCCCTAGGCGTTGAAGGCCTGGCTCCCTACGCACGGGTTGGACCTTATGAAAGAACAGCATACGAAGCAGTTCAAGCTCAAGCGAATCCATATTCGAGGCACGCAGCACCGCATCAAGCTTACGCCGAGCAACGACCATTGGGATTCGCAGAGAGCCCGCATCACGGTCCAGGCAGCAACGATCACGCCCATTCAAGCATCTCCAATGGACGTGGTCCGCATGACACACAACCAGCTAGACCGAACAATGGTCCTCGCGTGCCGCTCGCTGGCTCGACAAGCGGTGTGCCCGGTGCCGGTCAGTCGGGAACAGCGCAAGGACAGACGGCAGCCAGACCTTTAGGACCCAAATCGAGCACTAATTCGGCAGCACCGTACCTCTCCCGACCTTCGGACGGTGCCCCAGCTTTTGGTCCTCGGTGAGCAAGCGTCATCTGACGCTCACCCTTTCCTCGCGCTCGTCTACCATCACCTTCTCGTGTATTTTAGCCCGCCGTACGATTCCTTTACTCTGATCTCGCCACGTCTTCCCGCACTCAGATGCTTCGTTTGACATGAACACTCGCATACCCATGTGCGAACGAATGCAGTCTTGAGTATCGAGCGTCATGCCACTTTGAGATCAAGAGACATGAGACTCGTGATATTTCACGAACTTGCGACGCTGATCGGGCAGGCGCCATTGTGTGTTAGAGTCACGTGGGAATCGCGTGCAGGGTGCGCGCACGCGCCGTTCGTGAGTGCGTGGACGCGCCGCAAGGCAAAGGCATCCATCTCTCCTCGTGTGGTGGACCTGAGCACTTGACGCTTTTTGATACCCTTGCCTTTCATCATCCGCATTGGCTGTCGGCGCCAATGACTTGCCAAAATCTCTCATTTGACTCGAAGTCGAGGTTCACATACAGGACGAACCACTCGAGGACCTTTCAGCAAAAGCTTGACGCCTCACGATGTCCTCATCGCCGACCAAAAGGCCACGCCTAGACCCGCAGGACAGCCAATCCGCGCGGGTTGCTGGTTCGCGTGGCGATGCGGCAGCGCAATTACGAAGGGGTCAAGATGCTAGACGAAGCTCTCCTTCTGCTTCTGCCTCGCCTGGATCTGCTCAGATGAGAAAGAGCAAGCCGCCGCAGATGAGATCGCCGAGGAGCAGCATGTCTCCAAGACCTGCCACTTTCGATACGAGCTTGAGCGGGATGGAGGAGGACACTAGTTGGGCTACGCTGGATAGTGAGTCGAGCCTGCTGCTGGAACACACACGTGCAAGTTACAAAACACGGGAGCTGATCCCCACCCTTTGCTACTCGCCGCGACTGTATGCTTCACGCTTCTTGACAGAGCTGCTCTTGGATCGCACACTGCACCTGCACTCCCACTCTTCCCTGCACTTGCCCACCATCAGCTCCACCTCGGGTGGCAATTCCGCCTCGACGGGCCCAACAGCACGACGCAGCGTAGATGTAGCGCCAACACGAGATCAATTCGGACTGATCCGAACCGCATGTCTGGAATACCTTTCTCCTCGTCTCGCTTCCCTCTCCGCTTCCATGCCTGGCCCCATCATCTCGCCACCTCGAGTGCGAGTAGCAACGCTACCTTCACTCGGAACGACGGCGTGGGTGCTGGAGGTTTCGGTAAGAGCTCAAGCTTTGCCGCTGCCCGGCGCACCGGTAGAAGTTGCGAGATCAGCAGTCAAGACGACGCTCAATGCTTGCGTCGTCTTTCTTCCTCACGTGCTCATTGCCAGGGGCGTCAAAGGAGGTACGACGGGCGTGGCTGCTGCTCTGCTTCCCTTGCTGCTCAGCTTCTCTCAAGAGTATCTCGATACGCACCTCTCGTCCGCCATGGCTTCCCGAGCTCTCAGAGGATTGGCACTGGAAGAGATTCTGGAAGTGCTGTGGAAGTCGAACAATAGCGCACGAGGCTCGCAAGCTGAAGCGAGTATTGAAGTCACTTGGAACATTGGCGCTCTGGTGGACGACGTGGAGGATGAAAAGTTGGCGGAGAATTTGACGTTGGCTGTTCCTTGGAGCATCGTCAGTCAAGCTTGCGGGGGTGCTGGCAATGGTGAGTTCAACGAGTCGCGCTTTGACATGCATGCGCGCGTGCTGGCCATCATCAACTGACTGCATTCCTGCTGCTCTCCTACTTTTCAAGCGCCACTGCATCCCTGGTTGGGCCTCTATCTCTCATCGCACACCTCACTGCTACCTCCCTCTCGCATCCTGACGCGCATAGGTCTGGCAGGTGTGCACGTAGGCGTCTCTTCGACGGGCGTGCGAATCAAGATGGGCTCGGGCAAGGGCGAGGATACGAGCAAGGCGAAAAAGGTGCTGAGCTGGTGCGATAGGCGCATTGCTGAAATGCAACGATGAGCCATGAGCTAGGCCGCGGAACACACAGCGCTGTGGTGCATACCCAACCACCAACGGGAGCGGCGAGCTCCATCGATGCATGTCCTCTTCCATCCTCGACATGCCCATCAGCGTCTGTGTCAAAGCGCATACACGCTTCCATTCTTGTGCTTCCTCCTTGTTGTACCAACATACGGTCGGTCCGATAGATGCCGCTCAATCAACATTTCTCCAAGGGGGGCAAGCTCTGCGATGCTCCTTTGAGCTGACAGCTCGAGTAGCGGCGCGTCAAACGGGGAACACTGCTGCATCTCTCAAAGTTTGTCTGAGCTGAGGAATCTGTGCAATTTCCTGCCTGCGTGTTCCACCTGCGCGAGTCCGAGTATTGAGTCGTTGGCCATCATCATCGGCTCAATGGCTGTGAGTCGCCCATACGATTCAAGATTCGAGTCGCGTTTTGTGTCGTGTTTGTACGCGCTGGTTGGCGAGCTCGATGCCCACGCATTAATCACGTGCAACTGTTTCCAGATCCCGCGGCGCACGCGTCTCGAGACATCCAAGATCAACATCTCATCTCCTTGACGCGTCCGCGCGTGCCCGCGGCGCATGCGTGCCAACTCTCTCGCGCCCGCGCACACCTCTCCGGCTCTGCTGGCTGCGTGATGACAGGGCCAATATCGCGCGGTATCTTCATCGCTATGATCATCATCAAGAGGGCCCATCACCATCATCACCACCACAGTGACGACTTCTCTTTCTCATACAACATCGTTCGAGCACTTGAATAATATCACGTGGACTACTCTTCAGCAAGTATGGCGAAACGCGTATCTCAGGGAGGAGCAGGAGCGGGAGGAGGCATAATGTCCGCCACTCCTCGTCGTAGTCTAATGACTCCTGGAGGTTACATGACGCCGCGCAACAATCTAGCTTCATCCTCTCTACAAGCTGCGCACAACATCCCTTCTTACGACTTGCCCTCGCATGCGCTGCTAGACGTTACGGGCGATTGCAAGCCTTCGTTGCACTTTGCTCCGTTGCAGGAGAGCATCAAGCAGTTTGGAGATGCGATCGATCGATGGGTCAGCAAGACTTTCAACGAGTGGCAGGATGAGAAGCTGGGAAATGAACAGAGGGAGATGGACCTTGTCAGAGAGATCAAGGAAAAGGAAAAGCTGATTCAGGAGGCTAAAATAGCTCAGGGTCAATTGTATGCTGGTGAGTCGATTGCAACGGGAGGGAGAGGAGGAGATGTTCACGTGGGGAGACGGTCGACGGATGGAAGCGCAAGAGGGGGGCGGCAATGCTGTGTTGCAAAGGTCCGATGCGGCCACCTTGACGCTTTGATCGGTCTCGCATCCCAAACCCTCAGAAATCGCCTCGGAGCGCGAAGCCGATTCTTCTGCGCGTCAGGAGCTTCGGGATCTCGAGAGGCGTTTGGCCAGCGTGAATGCGCAATGCGAATCCGCTTCCAAGGAGTTGGCCGAGGTGGAGGAGAAGCTGAAGCGGAAAAGGTCGGAGAAGCTGGACGACAGGGAGATCATCAAGCGGCAACAGGAGAGCAACACGGTCGAGTTGAACCATCTTGAAAGGTGCACTGGGCTGAGGATCGAAGGTACGAAACAGGGTGAGTATTGTCAGTGAGCGCGAGCATCGATGCTCGACGTGTCGGTGTGCCATCTGGCTTAGCGCGATCCTACCTTTCTTTCTCGAAAAAGCTTCGACGGTACGCTACGTCTGGTCGCTCGTCAATCCCGACGAGTACGGAGAGGAAGTGGAGGCGGTGGTGGACCTGAGCGGCAGCGATTACAAGCGTGAGCACGAAAGCGGGCGTCAAATTTCCTACCGCGATACGAGTGGCACTACTGACCACATGCGCATCCCCCCGGAACCCAACGCGTTCCTCTCGTGCACGCTTCCAGTCCTCTCGCATTCCCCACCTCTACCCAAGGAAAAGTTGGATCAAGTCATGAAGGAGCTGAACCAGAGCAGAAAAGTCTGGGCTTGGGTCGTCAAGATGAGAAGCCTGTTTAGAGAAGAGGTGGAAAGACTTCGAGCCGAGCGCAAAGCTAGGGGAGATTAGACCTTTGGGATGAAAAAGGCCCGCCTCGGCGTCACGTCTTGACAATCCACGCATACATGCGCCGGTCCACTCGACAGCTTGCCTTGCCCCCCCTCCTACCCCTTTGCCCGCTCTTCGGTCCCGATGAATGCATCCCGACGCGCAGCCGTCGCCCGCTCTCGCACACCGTGACACGCGCCTGAACTTTTCCGCATCTTTCTCTCGTCTTGTCCTTTACAAACCCTTGCCCCTTCCTAGCTAGCTGTACCAACATCGAATAAATGCACCGACGCGCGGCTACAGATGACGGTACGGGTTCGTGTTGAGGTGTTGCCATCCGCGGTGATACGAGAGCGTGACAGGCAGCGCAAAAAGGAAACAGGGGCCGGGCCACCCATACCTTGTAGAATGCACATCTTTGCAGGCTGGCAAGGGGCTGCCGACAAGCCTGTGGAAGTGTGATCAATTACGAGAATGGAAGCGATGATGCTATACACGACGAGCGGAATGAGACGAGACGAGACAAAGGGTAGTCAAAAGAGCAGCAGCAAAGAGGCACTGCACTCGGTCGAAAATCTCTCCGGAGAATGAAGGCCAGGCAATCAGAAATCTTCCTCCATGGAGAATGTGTGGACGTTCTTTTGCGTGCCATCTCCCTCCTCTTCGCCCTCCTTTCTGCCGACACCAGCCTTGGAGTACTCTGCCACCTTCTTCTCGAAGAAGTTGGTCTGTGATGGGTGAAAGGCAAGCGATACAGAAATCAGTACTAGCACGACTCAAAACTCTGAGCCTACAAAGACTCACCTTGCCTTGAAGACTGATGTTCTCCATCCAGTCAAAGGGATTGGTGGCATTGTAGAACTTTTCGTTGCCGAGCTTCACGAGCAAATGGTCAGCGACGTACTCGATGTATTGGCACCTGAAGTCAAGGAGAGATGGTTGGGATGAGAATGAGCTGATTGCATCGCACGCCTTCACGCGCGACTACAAGCGAAGTACTCACATCAAGTTGGCGTTCATGCCAATCAAAGAGACGGGCAGTGCGTCGGTCAGGAACGCCTTTTCGATCTCGACAGCTTCGGTGATGATGCGCTTGACCGTGTCTGGATGGGCACGCTTCTTGAGGTGGGAGAAGAGCAGGCACGCAAAGTCGGTGTGAAGACCTTCGTCTCGGGAGATGAGCTCATTGGAGAAGCTCAGTCCCGGCATCAGACCCCTCTTCTTGAGCCAGAAGATGGAAGCAAAAGATCCGGAGAAGAAGATGCCCTCGACGGCGGCAAAGGCAATCAGCCTCTCGGAGAAGGAAGATCGTCTGTCGGAAATCCACCTGAGTGCCCAGTCGGCCTTTTGCTTGACCACGGGAATCGTCTCGACGGCATCAAACAAGAACTCTCTCTGCTCTGGTTCGCGGATATAAGTGTCGATGAGCAGAGAGTAAGTCTCCGAGTGAATGTTCTCCATCATGATCTGGAAACCGTAAAAGCATCTGGCCTCTGCAGCTTGCACCTCTTGAGAGAATCGCTCGACCAAGTTCTCATTCACGATGCCGTCCGAAGCCGCGAAAAAGGCGAGCACGTGAGAGACAAAGTGCCTCTCATTGTCGTTGAGCTTGTTGTCCCAATCATGCAGGTCCTTGCTGAGATCGATCTCTTCCGCGGTCCAAAAAGATGCCTCTGCCTTCTTGTAGTATTGCCAAATCTGTCGCCCGACGACAAGGAAGGAGAGAGAGGGGGCGGGTAAGCAAGCGCATTCATGCCTACAAAGGGCCAGGGCAGCGGAGTGGGAGACAGGCTACTCCGCTCACCTCGTGGAAGCGGATGGGAAAGAGGACGAAGCGACGCGTGCTTTCTACCAGCAGCGGCTCCTCGTCCTCGGCCAAGTTGACGTCGCCGACAAACTTGCCGTACACTTCTGAAGGGTCACCCATGGCTTCGATGCGAGCAGCCGCGACTTGAGCAGGGGTAGCATCTGCCGATATGTCGATGGGAGCAGCAGTGGATGATGAAGAAGCGGCAGGAACAGAGTTGACGATCTTCGTCTTGGAGAGGAAGCCAGCGTCTGAGAAGTCTGCCGCCGGCTTGACGGGCGAGGTGGCTGATGGTGCCATGTTGTTGTTGGTGGTAGTGCTGAAGTGGATATGCTGCACGGGGGCGGGGAAGAGTGCTCGATTGGGCTCAAAGGCGGTGGTGTGTGTGTGGTGTCGGTGTGCCGAGCGGCTTTGCGAATCACTCTTGTGTGAGCGTGGTGCTGAGAGGAGGATGAGTGAGCGTGGAGGAATGGGGATACGCTTCTCTCTGGCCTGGCCTGGCTTTTTAAAACTTTCATGATGGAGCTGCTGCGCTCCTGTGCAGCTCGACGAGCGAGGCATGCGCGCGTGTGGCGCCGCGTCAATTAACTCAGGTCAGCAGCAGCAGCGCGCGTGCTGCTGCTGTGGTGACTGAGCTGCGCGCGCGTGCATGCCATGCGACTCCCGCCGCGCAGGGCACCCCCCGCGCGCGCATCAGCACTCTACGCGTCACGCGTCTCCATCTTCAACGCGTCTCTTCGAGCGTGTACCTATACGTGTTGCATTATATTTCCTTCAAGTCGCGTCGCGAATCAAGCGATCGAGAGGAGCGTCGACCGTGCAGCGACAGCAACACAGGACATCAGCATCAGCAGGTCCATGCGACGTGCCATGCCGGTACCGACCGCGACCACCGTCGCATGGGCTGGCTCAGCCCGACTCTCGCTGACGCGCGTGCTCGGCCATGACTCGACTCGTCGGGTGAATCTGATAACCAGCATCGATCGAGATAGCCTATGCATCCACCAGGCCCCCCCGGTCGGCCGGCTGGCTGGCTGGCTGGCCTTCTCCCTCCCCCACCCTCTTCGAGTCGCGTCGCGTCGCGTCTTTTGAGGATTGGAATGCCGATCGGTCTTGCCCTTCTCGATTCTCGTATAAATGCCAGTCGCGTTTCGCGTTTCGGACAGCTAGCAGAGATCCGACTGAGCCTGCAGATTGTGATGTCGAGCAAGCAGCAGCGACACGCACGGCCCGGCCTCGATGGGTTGTACAACGGCGGAAGGAGCGCCCTCCTTGGCTTCGTGGCTTCGTGGGCCGCACCATGGACTCACGACTCCCAGAAAGAGGCGCGCTGACGAACTTGCCATGTGCGCTGCTCTGCTCTGTTGACCACTCACGACCGCCGCTGAAACAGGCTGCCGACTGATGTGCCGCGACATCGATCATTGCCGCCTAACGTGAAGCGGAACGCTTCAAACTCGCATCGACCCATCAAACTCGAGTGCAAAGCCAGTTTGAGCTCGTGCCCCATGTAAAAGTGGTTTTCGGAGTGCTTCCCCTCCCCCACAGCGCGCAAGGTGTGATCCCGTCTTTCACTTGGCGCCAGCCATGCAGATCGCATCGATCGCACGAGGCATCAAAAATGTGGTGACGAACTGCACTCAGCGGCACCTCACACACACACATCTCTGAGCCCTAGCCTTTCGTTCATTCTGATCACTCATCTGTTGCGACTGCCGGCTAAAACCCGCGCAGATCAAGTGCGAGCACCAGGGAAGAGCGGACGCAGAGATGGCAATGCACGGATGACGCACATAGCATTCAGAAAGTCACGCAAGAACAACCCCATCAGGCTACCCGTCATTGCTCGAGCGCCCGTGATGATTCTACATCGGCAACGGTAGGCTTCGCAAAGGCCCAAGTGCTCTTTATTAGGAATCCTTCTTCGAAGCCGATGCAGACTCTTTCCTGTCCTCGCCTTTCCGCAGCGCGTCGTCGGATGGGAGGTTGGGCAACCATCGAACCGGATTCTTCTTGTACATTGGCCAAGCTGGCACGACCAGCTGATCAGTGGTATGAGCGTGGCCGATGATCAGCGCACCAAACCTCAAGCCCAACAAGCAGCCCAAGTTGCTTTGCATTCACGACCGCTTTGACTCACGATGATGGCCAGCAAGGTGGAGATGCCATAGATGTACATCAGAGCGGAGAGAGACTCTAGCAGGTAGCCGGCCGCAAAGGAGATGACCTAAGCAAAATGAAAAAAAAGAGGCAATGAGCTGGTCGGCAACGCGGGGCAACGGGCTGGAGTTGCCGTCTTTGCCACACTCACTGCTGCCAGCACCAAGAGCTCTTGCATGATGCGATCGGCCAAGCGTTGGCCTTGAAAGGGCTGCATGATTGCGCGCCGAGTCGAAGGGTCAGTGACGATTCTGCGGAGAGGACCTTCTGATGTGTGCGCCAATTGGGCATTATCCATCTCGGATTTGATGGTCATGCAGATCTTCCGAGCCATCCCGCAAGTTTGCCCCCATCTTCCTTCCCGGCCACAAGGCGCGAGTTCATTGCAGACGCTCGCAGCATGCTGAATGCTGTCCACCTTGCGACGCACCAGACGCTCGCGTGGCCACTTCGTACGCCGTTCCGTGTTCAGAGAGGAGCCCAGCACATTCCCGGTGCTGCGCATACATTCCCAGCAAACTCACAATCTTGCCCTCCGCTGCAATCCTAGCATTCTCGAGCCACGCATTGACCGTGTCCGTCACTTTCTGCACCAAACCGCTCATGACTGCCTCTTGTTTGCGGGAGTGTTGCCAGCTGATTGTGCAATGATGTCGAGCGCTCTCTGGATGGAGAGCGAGCGAGCGAGGCAGCGTAGGTGGATGTATGTTGCTAGCCTCTTCTTGGCACCTTTGCTCCGAACGATGAATGGGAATGCTTCGAAAGCTGGTGGGTTCAGACTACGACGAGTCGCGAGTCCAAGTCAAAGGCGAGACGTGCTTCGTGCAGCGTTGCGCGACGAGGCACGAATCTTGACTGTCAGTGTCGGGCGCGAAAGGCAGGAAGCTGTAGGGCGAGCGATGATCGAATGTGACGCGTGAGTGCTGCTGCGTCTTGAGTTGACTCGTGTCAATCAGAATCACTCAAAACTGAATCGAATAGTCAAAGTAGTCGTGAGTAGTCACATGACAGTTTGAGTGGATCTATGAGTCGTGGCTGGAATCATCAGTGCGCTGTCGCCGTCGCGCAGCCCGCTTGCATGTCCAGTCAATTCAGTCACGAGTGTGATCGAGTGACCATGCAGCACATCCACAACCTCGAATCGTTCACGCGGTTAGCGCTTTCACCTTGCGCCGCGCGCGACGGCGGAGAGTCTGCGCATCTCCGCGGAGCCTGCTCAATTCCCGCGCCATGAATTAAGCGAGCGCGCGCCTCGATCCTAACCGCGGTGGTCTGAACCACGCATGGCAGCTCATGCAGGCAAGACAGACAGACAGACTCGTGACTGCTCTATACTCACAGACTCACGACCACACTCTGCGACTGCGACTGCGACTGCGACTGCGACTGCGACTGCGACTGCGACTGCGATTCACATTGCTGACGCCTCGTTCACAAATCGTTCACGATTCACCAATTTCATTGCCAGATCCGTTTCAAGTCAACTGGATGCGTGCATGGGTATCCTTCATCCAGTTCTGAAAACGTTCCAGCCATTTCGATATATAGCGACGTCATGGGACAAGCTGATGCGGCAACTCGTTCAGTACTCGGTCTTTACGTAGTCTCGCCACGTCTTAAGGTTGGGATTGAGGGCGCGCAGTTCCGCAATATTGACGGAGTAGCCGGTGTTGTTGAAGAAAGCGAACATGGTTTTGAGCTGAGCACGAGCACGAGCAGGAAGCAACCAATCTGGCAAATGTCAGTCTTCCTCTTTCGTATTGCCAACAAGAGAGTAGCTAAAGGCCAAGGGCACACCTGGGCTCACCTCTTTGAGACCATTGGCCAAGAGCCACCCGATGAGGCTGAACGTCTGAGGAATCTGATACTCTTGAACCTCTGCGAATTGCTTGCGCAGCTGCGTCATGTCGAGCTCGTCGCCGGCCAGCGAGAGGGACTTGCCAGCGTACTTTTCCGGCTGCTGGAACGCCAGAGCTGCAAAGAAGCCAATGTCGGAACATGCGATCTGGGAAAGAAAAAAAAAAAAAGAAAAAGAAAAAAAAAGAGGTGCGTTGAGCGTCGGCGTTCAGTCAAGTCAGCGCACAAGCCCAAAAGTTGGCTTTGGGTAATGTCAAGGAGCTGCTTGCGAGTTCATACTCACCATCTGAAGAGGTTTCTTGACAGTGTTGATGCTAGCAGTGAGAACAGCTTTGCCCAAAAATCCTCCATCTTGAGAGATATTGTCCATAAAGAACGTCGGTCTCAAAATCGTCGTCTTCAAGCTCGGGCTCGCCTTTTGCAGCTTTTCGATGTGCTGCTCTACCAGCCTCTTGGATTCAAAGTGGGGAATGTCGGTCTTTGCCAATCCACCGAAGTCGACAGAGCTGTAGATCAGGTGCTGCACGCCAGCCTTGGCTGCCTCATCTGCCACTTGGATGCCCTGCTCGGTCTCTCCCTTGACCCCTCCGTTGGGATTGTCGAAGCTTTGCTGTACGCTGTGTGATGGCGATGCCGAGAAAAAAGAGACTTTCCGTCAACACGTGCTCTCACGTGCCCGCTTGGACGCGCATCTACTCACGAAAAGACACCATACACGGGTCCACCTTTGAGCGCCTTTTCGAATACCTTGGCAGCATCATATTCGCTCTCGAGAATCTCGACACCAGGGAGCTTTGCAAAAGCTTTGGCTTTGCTGGATGAAGCGCTGCGCGTCACTGCTAGCACTTTGAACGCTGGATCTGTGCTGGCCGAGTTGAGCGCGCTGAGAGCTTTGACTACTCCGGTGCCTTGCTTGCCAGTGGAGAGAAAGACGACGATGCGCTTGGCAGCTGCTGAGCTGGACATGTTGGCGAGTCAAGCTGATGTTGGAGTTGGGGATGTTGGTCGAATGCGAAAGCTGAGCGATATTTGGTGCGCGGGAGGACCTGGGTTGATGGGGGTGAGGATCAGGGAAATGAAAAGCTCGCGACTGTTGTGCCTGCTGTATATGTATGCGCACCCGAGCATCGCAAACCTCCACTTGGAACGCACGACTCGCGCGCGCATTTGATTCACAACTGCATTGTCCAGCTTGTGCCCCGGTCAAATGCAAGGAATGACCACAATGTGACTCCACTTCGGACTTAACATTCACGATTCGCGTACGGTCATGTTGATATGGGCGCTGGTCCATCACGCACCAATCGCAACCTCTAGCTGCTCTCAACAAGAGGCAGAAAAAGAAGTCATGATGACGCATCCATAGCTGTCGTGCCGGTACAGGCACTCGGACCGGGTACAGGTATGGCGGGCAAGCTGCTGTACGGCCGGTGCTGCAGCTGGGATCGCGCAGCGCAAATTTGCGGGTGAGCAAGCGGTCACGGTCACGAGTCGTGAGTGGGGGGCGAGCGCGAATTTGCGACCAGCAGCCTGATGTCCAGTCAAGTCCATCAGCATGCATGCATGCACAAGACCACAAAAATTCCCCGAAACACCTCCGTCGTCGCCTGTATGTCGACTCGGCGGCGGATTTTCCTCAGTTTGTGCCTAAATTGGTGCACAATTCAGCCACACGTTACGAAGAAGGTATACCATGCAGTACCGGCCTAGACTCGTGACTGTACTGTAAGCGTGCACGTTACGGTAGCGTATTGTAAGGATCAAGAAACGAGCTCGCGCGCTGCTGCGTGTTATGACAGGACATACGCGCAATTAAGAGGACATTCAAGACGCGCCCGCGCGGTAACGGCTCGGCGTTAAGCCTTCCTACTGCTGCCGTACGCGTCGCAGCCTTGTCGGCAACCCGCGGGTGGTGATGGGCATGCAGCACACAGTTGAGTGATTCTGATTGCAAAGTCTTGGGTGATGATCGAGTCAGTGAGTGATGATGTTCGAAATACGAGTCGACGAATTCTGCACAGTCTCCTTTGTCGCGCTCCACGCAGGAAGGAATCTCCATGTAAACACTTCTGCCATGCTGCAGCCTTCCTAGACGATATTCGCTCCAGCGAATGGTGCATCGCCGAGCATCATCGTTCAACGAGCGCGAAGCTGCCTGTAATCATCTAGGTGTGCAGAGTCGAGAATCAATTCGCACGCAAGTCCATTTGCGGTTCCACTCTATTACAGGTATTGCATGGCTATCCTCGCCTCGTGTCGGGAAATTGGTAGATTAATTCCGATGTCTGCCTCTACTGTGACTCTGTCGCCAGCCGCGAAGCGAGCATCTGGATGAGCCCTGGCCAGTCAAACGCGCGAGGGGCTGTCGCACTTTGAGCAGCTCGTGGCAGTCACACGCCTTGCGCTCGATGCGATGCCTTCTTACGCAGCCGTTTCAGCAAAGACCACGCGGAAGAGTGTTCGCACCCGCGTCACGTAGGCCTTTTCTTTGCGATTGCCAATCCAAAGTGAGGATGGGTGAGTGAAAGAGATTGTATACATGTATTCTAGAAGGCATGAGCGATCAAATCTCTGAGTGGTGACTGACGGGGTAAGCGCTGGGCCAGCATTGCCACTTCGCAAGAGCGATGGCAGGGCGAGATCTCTTCAGTGCTACACTTTCCTCTCGGCGTCTATCCGAGCATGATCTGCAGCACCAGACGTCGCCCGCTGCTGCTGCTGCTGTGTAGCATCGCTTCTAGATCCAAGGTGCAGAGCGAGCTCGTAGACGCTGAACATGATGACTGCATTGGGGACCACTCTGAGCAGGTGAGCCGACAAGCCTCCATACAGTGCCGCTGCTCCTTCTTCCTTCAGTACCAGCATAAGCGTCTGTTTCAGACCAGTGTACTTGGGCTGGGACGTGCCTGCTGGTGGCTGCTGTCTTAACCTGGTTCGCAGGACCTGACATTGCGCAAGAATATGGCGACGCAGCATCAGCACCAACCACTGACTTGACAACAAACACCTAGGACGACTCACCTCGTGTGGGTATGTGATGAGGCTTGCCGTGAGCTTTGCAATGCCCGCAGCTCCAATGGTGTTGCTCCATCTGCTGTTTTTCGTGCTCGATTCCGCACTCCGCTCTCCTGCCGGCTTCCACCTCTTGATGCGTTCGTAGAGTACCCATTGGATAGTTCCCTCAGCAACGCCCAGATAGCTAGCTGACATGCCCCTGTACATTCCTCGGATTCCCTCTTCCTTGATGATGCGAAGCGTCATTTGCAGAGATGTCGCTCCTTTCATCTTGGGAGCAGGTGTGGGTTTGAAGTAGACCTTTGAGAGCGGTGCAGACACACTCCTGCTCGATGACGCTGTAGAGAATGTGGCAGGGGATGAAGCTTGCTGTAGACCTCTGACAGCGGCCTTGGAAGCGCTCGAGGGCGTCACCGCTGCCTTTCTCTGAGACGCGCGCTCCGCGTCCTGAGCGTGAGCTTCCAGCTGCAGTCTCGTCTTGACGACCCAGATCGGGTTGGTTGCTGTTGCAGTGACGATGCCCGCATTTGCCGCAGCTGCCAAATGCACCGCAGCTGTCTCCTTGCCATCGTTCAAATGCTCCGCTATCAACGCCTTGCCGTTCCCATACGTCCAGAAGTTGATGGCTCTGCAACGCGGGTGCCAGTTGTAGTGACGACCATCAGCATGACAGCACTCGAATCATCACCAATACACTCTCATCGCCGAGTGTTCAGACTCACCTGGCCGGTACAGCGCCCACGAGCGTGGGTCCAAGTCCTCGAAACAGCGCCCTGGGTCCTTCCTTTGTCCAAATCTCGGCCAAGATGTGGCCCGTCTCCACAAAATGGTAGGCCAACTTTCTTCCCTGCGCGACCACTCCGCCAGATGCGGTGGTGGTGCTGCTGCCGACCAAGTTGTGAGCTTTGGTTCGATACAAGTCGGACTGTAGACGAGTCTTGACTACGTCCAAGGGCGACGTCACGATGGCACCGCACATGCCTCCTGCGCCTCCTGCTGCGAAATGTAACCATGCCGGCGGTGCCACCGCTTTTCGAACAGATCGCAACGAGCTTTCAGGTCGATCAGCGCTGCGGTATGCGATGGAGCGCGAGGCTTCGGCATTGAATGCGGTGGATGTTTGCGTCTCGGATGAGGGAGGTGAGGCCAGCAGGGAGGTGGCGCCTCCTGCGACCGCTGGTCTTCGCGATGGACCGGCTTCTGCGCTCATTTTGACGGATGTATGCGCTGCGCGCGGTGTTCTTCGCACCTGTGGCAGAAAGATAGCTCGATCCGTTCAGGCTTTGGAAGATTTAGGATGCTTGATTCACCAGTGGGGGACCAAAAAGAGTTGCGCAAGCCTTCCGTGTGACCTTGCGAGGTCTTGTACCTTTCAAGAGTGAGCCGAACCGCTGGTTGAAGTTAGGCTGCTGGTCGCTGGAAGCCGGAGTGCCAATTACAAGGCGCCTCTTGCCAAGCTTGTCAACCCCTCTGGGATGGTCGATGACCTTCGAGCTGTGATCGCTATCGTCGAGCAATCGAGGCGGGCGGATGTGGAGCGTGACTCACGTCTGACAAAGGTGAAGCGCAGCGAGGGACAGAGGAGTGGGTGCGTGCGAATGAGCGGTGCAGCATTTCAAGGTTCTGCTTCGTGATTGCCTGCATTCACGATTTGAATTGCATGCATCTCGAGCACGATCATGCACGATGCACGATTTTTGCGAACAAAATTTCCCCCGCAAGACGTTACGCAGCAAGCAACGCCCGCGCCCGCAGAGAGACAGATTTTGTAATCAGAAGTCACAACAGTTTTGAGTCAGATGAGTCTGCTGAAACGAGAATCATCAAATGCACAAGCGCATCAAGGGTCACGTGGGATGACGATGGATGTCCTGGATGCTTCTCATCCTCATCGGCCCCGCCTTCTTTTGTCTCGCTCTGGAGGCAAACTCTCACACGTCACTAGCATCCCGTCAAAGACGATGATGCTCTGATGCGCAAGGCATGAGGCGGCCTCGAAAGACTGTGCAGCGACCAAACCGGTGGAGCAGCATGGACAGCACATTTGCTCCGCCGGATTCGTGATTGTGACTGTTGTAGCGCTCTGTCTTCAGATACTCTAGACTGTGTGGGTGTGCAGAGTCACGCATTGCATTCGCCTCTATGACCTGATGAAGCTCAAGTCAAAAGCATCTAAACAACCTCTCCCATAGCTACCAGTAATTCTCTTGCCCTTTGTCTTCTGCCCTCGACCAGAGCTGCATCTGGCGCTCCTTCAGCAGCTCGCTCTTGTGCTACGGCCATCGATCCGAAGGCCGTGCTGGCTGGAACGGGTGCCTGATTAGATTCTGACACGGGATTGTCTTGACCTCCTGTGCGTGCTGCTGGAGCCAAAAGGGCTTGGCGAAGAACATCTGTCAGCCTCTGTTCATTGGTGCAAGGCATAGGCATTTCTGAGTTAGCGCGCGACGCAGACATGAATTCCTCAGACCGAGTTGCGCTGTATCTCACCTGCTTGCCTGCTCCTTGCATAGTGCTCAGGTAGCCGCCGACCAAATGCACATATTCGTCGGGAAAAGCCGATGATTTCAGGTGATCGGATTGACCTGGCTCTTCAGCTTGCTCCGTGGTTTTAGGTGCTGCAACAGGAGATGGGTGTGGGCCTTCATTTGCATTGATGATGGCGTCGGTGGATGACAGCGAGAGCACATGCCGTAGAAGCCACGTCTGACGAGCCTGTCGTGCGCGGTCCCCCGAGTGAAGCGTCCAAAAGTCAGTGAAATGGGAAATGGACAGCTCTGCATGCGCACACTAGCAACGATGGCGCACCTTGGAAAATTTCCAATTGGGTTTGTCGTAGAAGTACTGATGCGCATACATCAAGGCTATGACAGTCAAAGTTTGCGCATGTGATGTGTGTGAGCGCTGATGACGCTGGGCGGAGCTGAAGCAACGTATGACCAGGCAGAGTCCCATTTACTCACATGCCTTTGCGCTTTCTCCCAGTCTCGCATCATGCTTAGGATCAGGACAGTCGGGTTTCTCCATGTTATGAGCTGCTGCAGCTGCGGAAGCATTCGCAATCGCGGCGTGCTGCTTATCGTCAGACGCTGGAGCTTCAAGTGTCGATGCTGGAAGAGAGGCAGGAGCGGGCGCTTCACCGGCGGATGGCCCAAGCACGTTCTTCCCAACCTTTCTCTTGCGCGTTCTCCGCCGTTTGGGCTTACTCGTGATGTGATCGCTGTCAGAGTCGCTGTCCGACGAGGAGGAGGAGGAGGAGGAGGAGGAGGAGGAGGAGGAGGAGGATGAATCGTCGTCCGCGTTCTGCCTCCGAGCCACCTCGCTACTTTTGACGCCTCTGACTTCTCTTGACGCCTCTGTCAGAGCACCAAGACCGCTCTTCGGCTTATTCTGTTCCTCTTCATCGCTGCTATCGCTGCTCTCGGCAGCCTCTGCTGCCGTGTCATTGGTCCTCGATGCAGCGCCAGATCTCTTTCGGCTCCTAGTCTTGCGTTTCCTCTTTCTCGCATCGCTCACTGTCCTCTTTGAGCCGCTGCGTGTCGATTTTGCGCTCATTGTCAGTCTAATTTACCGGTGCAGAAGCCTTGGAATCTTGCAGCCGATGTCGCTTTCGACTCAAATATGAGGCAGCAGAAAGGGGAGTGTGCTGGGGCGTTGAGGAAGGTGAGCAGGCATTCACGATTGCATGGCTGCATGTACGCACCCAAACCCCCTCCGCTGCCGCACGGAACCTGAAAGCGCCGTTTTGTGCGCACAACGCGCGCAGCCACCGGAAAAAATTTCAAGGAAGCGTGCGCATCGCGTGCAGCAAGGGCTCGCCTCGCGACAACTCGACAGCACTCACGACTCCTAACCGCCAACACCGCGGCAGGCAGATCTCCCCCACGACTCACCAGGAGTCGCGAGTCGGAGGCATACATTCGCAGCTGCCATCACCACCGATTCGAAAGTCGATCCCTTGAAAGGTTCAGCGAGCTCGAGACGCCCGGCAAAGATCGCCGTTGGCTGCTTGCCCACTCTCTGCATCATGTCGTCCTTTCAGATCCTCCCAAACGGAGGGGGCCACGTCTCGACGGCTACGACGCCGCTTCGTCAGCTGCGAGCTCTTCTGCCCAGCACAATTCAAAATGGGACGCTGTGGGCGCTCATAGATGCTCTGCAATCCACAGACTTGCTGAGCAAATGCTTCCAGCACGAAGCTGCCAAGTGTGATCCCAACTCTGCCCCGACTCCTGCCTCTGCTTCGAGCTCAATCTCCTTGGACTCGGTCCTGAACAGACTGGCAACTATCACCTCTTCTGCTCTCAATACTCCTGCTCACGCATCGTACGGTGCCAGACTTGCAATCCTGCAACTGTCTTGCGATCCGAACTCCCGAGCATCGGAGTGGGGTACGAGCACCCTGAATGCGCTCTTGTCCTACGGCGAAGCAGCGTCGAAGGAGGAAGTTCGTCCGGGCCGGGGTAGTGAGAATGCCAAGCTGGCCAGTCTGTCCGATGATGGTGTTGGCGAGCTGCTGCAGGCGGCATGGGTCATCTTTGGCGAGCCTGCGAAAGCGGAGAGCAGACCCGAGTACAGAAGAACAGTTGTCAGTCCTAATCTTAGCCGTTTGGCAACGGCACTCACTCTGCTCATCGAGGCCGCAGCCAAGGGTCATTCGTTCGCCGTGAGTTAGGATCTGCTCCACCTTTGGGCGCATACATGCTGCCCGGTTCGGAGCATTGCCATTGACAATCGATCTGCTCGTCACTCTCCGAGCAGCTGTCCGCATTACCCCACGTCGTTTTGAACATCAGGCTGCATCCATCCATCTATCGACCTTTCAGTCCTCGGCTGCACGCCGCGCTCACCAAGCTAGTCTACGAGATAGCCCCAAGCGCATCCTCGAATGGTCATCCGCAAGCCGTGCAGGCTCTCATTTCTCTGCATTGGACCGGACATACGACGGGGGGCACAAGCCAGGCTGAAAAGGCAGGCAGCTCGGCTGCAGATTTGTGGAGCGCCACCATTCATCCCGCCATCTCAGCTGCTCGATTCTCGTGGCAAGCCATCTCCAGCACCTTTGCGCCTTCTGCGGCAGATGTAAAAGGGCGGAAAGGTAGCGCTCCCAGCTCAGAAAGTAACATTCTTTCAATCTTGCCAAAGGATCCACACGAGGCTTTGCCAATCGCACTAGAGAGATTGGAGTCGATGCTTGGCTCTGCCGATCGCAGCGGAATCCTAAGCCTCATGCTCTGCGCTTCGACAGCTACTGTGGTGCCTCTTCCGCTCCACGAGCTTCTCGATACGATCATCATCCCGATCCTTTCGCTGCCCCCTGCGCCCGAGGCAGCGCCGTCAACCGACGCTTCGTTGCAGGCTCTCCAGACAGCAGCGCTTCCAAGAGCTCAGCGAAGCGCCTTGCAGTGTCTAGCAGTCTTAGCTCTTACCGTGCCTCGAGCCGGTCTGGCATCTGCCAAGAACCTCTGGAGGCTGGTCGATGCTCTGTCCGACTTGGTAAGCAACAAAGACACGCCTTCGACTTCGCGATGCTCGGCAAGCAGAGCGCTCGCTCTACTGCTCTGCTCCAAAGTCAGCTCCGACGAGGGTTCCATACCGGGCGCAGATTTGGCTCGAATGATAGACCCTGCCGATCCTTTGCTTCTGCGTGTTACTACTGCTGCGCTGAGCAGAGTCAGCCAGTGGCTGTCTTATCCGCACGCGGGCTCTTCTCCAGCGTCCACTCTCCACGGCTCTGGCTCCAACTCGAAGTCGGCCAGGAAGAGGCGCAAATACGAATCGGACGATGCGACTGGAAGTGTACTGGTCGGAACAGCTGCGCAAGATGGACCTAGAAGTGGCAAATTGAGATTGTTGAGGGAGGATGAACAGGCGACGTCGGTGGCGTGCGTGGATATTCTTTGCGCGCTTTCATCTCCACTCGACACGGATCTGACACCCGAGCATCGCAAGCTCTCACACGCCGCAGCGCAGGTTAACATCGCCCTTGGACTCCTTTCCCTCTCGACAGGCCACACATCCACCACAACTTCCACAGCGAGCAACGCAAATGCTCAGATTGCCAAAGGAGCTCTGCGATACTTGCAGCACGTACTGAGCGACGCCTCATCGGCTTTATTGTCCTTGGCTCTGGCTCACGTGCCCAGCCTTGCTACCAGAGCGTTGCAGTACCCGCACGCAGAGGTCAGACTAGCAGCGACGGAGCTCTCCAAGGTATTGGAAACGGTCATCAATCCTAGACTGCCCCCAAGGCTCGCAAGAGCAGCGGACGAGAGACCAACGGAATGGGATGCGGATGCGGAGATGGAGGACTTACGCATGGTGGATGCCGACGAGGCCGCTCAGCATAGGATCGCTCTCGATGCGGTTCGAAGCGTGGGATTGACCGACGATCGGACTCGAAGCTCCAGCTGGACTCCTCGCGCTGTTAAGATCGAAGATGCGTCCCAACTTCCTGAGCCTGCGGCGCATACACAAGGTGAAGACTTGGTGGATGCACATTTCCCGCAGCAAATACCGTCTTCGTCGGCGATCTCGAGGACACTCTCGCAAGGTGCTCCGCACAGCAGCCCTCCGTTGTCCAAAGCGAAGGAGGATAATTTGGAGCCTGTCAAACCGCACACGCGAGCCCCTACGCCCACCATGGGGTCTCCCTCGCTAGCCAGCAATAGGCGCATCTCCATCTCTCCGGAAAGAGTGGCGAGCGCTTTGGGCAGTAGCAATGTCAGTGCGAGTGCGCAGATCTTTGCTACGAGCAGGAGTGCTGCTGCTGCTGCTGCTGCTGCCAGCAGGGAGAGAGATGCCTCGCCAGCGTCCCCCTTGGCCAAGAGTCGGAAGGATGTGCAGCTCGCATCATCGCAGACGGACGCGGACATGCTCACTGCCGAGATGTCTCGCACCACTAGCAGTCATTCTCAGCGCTCTCCGCAGCTTCTGCACCGCTCTGAACAGACGCGTTCACAGCAAGTGCTGCAAGGGGCGAGGGACAGCGATGAAGATGATGACGATGATGAGGCTATGCCCACTTTGGACCTCAGATCTTCCGATGAGGAGAGCGAAGAAGAATGAAGCGAGCTGCACCGTGGCGTGCCGTGTCGCGCAGCGCCATAATTGAGACATCTCTAGGCGTATGTACAAGCACACATGGTCTAGCTCTGCCTTTTGAAGAGTTGGATCGCTGCGCACCTCTTGCGTGTATCTGTTTCCATCGCATCATCAGCTCGTCGGAGCTTTCGTTTCGCAATCACAGTGCGATAAAATGCAGACTGACGCATCGCCTTATGGATACATTTGTGCTGTGCCCTTTTTCTTCTCCAAGATGGCTGATTGGTTGCCCGAGCTTTGAGATTTGGCCTACAAGATGAAGGAGTAGAGAGTGGTTTACAGCGAGCAGTCATCGGTACTGCAGAGCACGACGGCATTCGTCGCTGATGGTCAGCGAAGCGCCGTGTGGCGCGCAGGGCGTCAAAAATAAAGATTCGAGTCGCTGCCCGACGCGTGATTGCGAATGCTGTCGATGAAGGTGGAGCGAGAGGGGAAGAAATCGGAATGAATGAGTTACGCAGCAAAGGCAGAACAGGTATGTTTGGGGGAGAAGGGGAGGGGGGG